ACAGCACACACACACTGCCGCCCCTGGCGTCTCCAAACCCAAAGTTGTAAAAGGGTATATTCCAGCCGGACACACTCCTAAACCTGTGATCATGCCAGACTACATTGCGTGAGTACCTAGTTCACAATCAGAGAGAAAACTCACAAAAGTGTATTCTATGACCTTGATATGCTTTTGCTCTTTAATAAATCTCATCCTTGTGTTTTGTCTTGCCCTTCAGTAAATATCCAGCCATTCGAACCGATGAGCAGCGAGACCAATATAAAGCCGTGTTTAATGACCAATATTCTGAGTATAAAGAGCTCCATGCTGAAGTTCAAGTGATACTGAAGAAGTTTGATGAAATGGATGTTATGATGCAGAATTTACCGCAAAACCCCACCAGCCACATGGTCAGTTGATATTCACTTTTATTACTGTACACTTTCTCTGACTGCTTATATAAAGGAATTTTATTATAGAAACATAAACAAGGCGTCTAATCTGTAAAAATGATTTTTTGAAGTTGTAAGGCAAGGCACTTTTATTTATAGAGCACGTTTAAAACAGCCACTGCTGACCAAAGTACAATCACTTCAGACAATAAAATACATAAATACATAAACAAACAGGAAACGCACACAAATTCATAAAATTACATTGAACCAAAAGCCAGAGAGAAAAAATAAGTCATTAGTGAGGATTTAAAGCTATTAACATTGTAAATAAAACAAAGATTATTGGAGTACGTTTTCCAAAGAAATACTATTTTAGTCTTTCTACTTGAAACACGTTTTCATTTAACGTGCTATTTGCCGTTTCTTTGTAATTATTTGTGTAATTTCTGAGTAAATCCTACTAGTACACCAATTTTTTTCAGTGATTTTCATATGTAAAATCTCATTTTTATTCTTAGTTTTTGCTGTATGTTTCTTAAATGTTCCCTGTTGAATGTTAGAACAACATTTAATAAATGTTTTGATGCTTCAGCTTTTAGAAATCACAGAAATTATGTGAATTTGCTCTTTTCAAAGACAAAATGTATCAAATGTTTAGTCATAACTTCATAAATGCCACAGGAATGAATGTGTGCTCGCTTGGGTTGCACCTTTCAAGTAAAGGATTTTACCTCAAATGTGATCATGTTATCAAATATTTTTAATTTCCTCTTCACTAGCTTGCTTCCTAAATCTAGTTGTCTAATAAACCAGATGTTGAATATTAGAAAAATAGTTTTCCTCTTTTGCAAATTGCTTTTGTTCTTCTTTTGTAAGTTGCTTTGGATAAAAGCTTCTGCTAAATGCATAACTGTAAATAATGTATTGCAGAAGCGCTATTCTAGTCTTCTTTAAAAAAAATTCTCCCATTTTCTATCTTAGGAGCGTGACCGCATCAGCAAAATCCTCCAGGAATATCAGAGAAAGAAGATGGTGAGTTACTGATGGACGATTTGAGTGATTTGAGAAAACGTACCTGCCGTAAATATATCTTAGTGGCTATTAAAACTGCATTGTGCATTATTTAATTAAAGCTTTATTCGTTTAATTCATATTTTTAATATTTAATTCATATTTTTCCTTATGTCAAAGCCATTATTTGCCCTTTTTTTTTAACTCTCTGGTTCTCTTTGTGTGGCGCTCAAAAGTGACTCCAATTTTTTCTTTTCTTTTTTCCTCAATGAAATGAATGTACTATATTTAAGTTAGCTAATGTTTTTCTTTAATATTTAGTATTTTAGGGGATTTTATATTACCTTTATTTAACCAGAAAGAACACTCACTGAGATTAAAAATCTATTTTCCAAGAGCGTCCTGGCCAAGACAGGCAGCAGCACAATTAACAAGGTTGCAGACATAAAAACATATAACATATAACATGAACATAAAACATAACAATTTACGCCGGTAAAAAATAGTGAGTTACAAGGTCATAAAAATCAAAGTTTCATATCTATTTATCACAAGCGATAAACAACAGCAAGGATCGTCAGAATAGTCAATCATAACATCCACAGCCAGTTTCTCAAGTCCTCAGAACGAAGGCAATATCTTCCTGTGCCTTTCTTTTTAATGTAAGATTGAAGATATGGGGAAGCAGAACAAGCATAGCTTTGTAGATAAAAATGTGCCAATGATTAAGTCTACGAGTGGACAATGCAGACCAACCAACCCGATCATACAAAGAACAGTGAAGAAATTTTAAATTATACATTTAAATTAAATGTATGCACATGCAGTAGTTATAATCCATTTATTCACTTTTTTGAGAACAGACCTGAAAATTAAATGTCCAGCTTAAAATGTTGTAAATCTTGAATGCTTTGGAGCACACACTTAAAATTAAAAAAAATCTCTTTTTAAAGACGACACTAGGCAGATTATTGCTGAAGTAAAAAAAAGTTTTAAAAAGTCATAGAATGTTAAGTTTATTATTATGAAAAATTCACAAAAATACTATTTTAAATGTTTTGATGAAATATGTATTTTCAAAACATGAGAAAATCAAAGCCATAAAAAAAATGGTGTGTTCCAAATTCGAGGTTGATATCTTAAAAAATTATCTTTCAGTAAGATTTTGTTTGGGCGCAGTACCAAAGGTTTCCACTAGAGAACATACGTTTCCCATTCATTTCCAATGCTCTCATTTTTGACTGCGAGGAGCACAACACAAGTGTGACATTTTTTTCAGCACCTTTTAACCTTTTCAAATAAATTTTTTTTTGTCTGTGCGTGTTCACACTGCAAGTGCCAAAACCTTTACCAAGTAAAAAAACAAACAAAAAACATACAAAGCGTTAATATTAATGGAAATATATGTGGAAAAACAGCACAGGCCACTGTGTCACTCGCAGCATCTTACATGAGCTAGATGAGAAAACAATATGATTTTGATCATCATACTTTTGTTTTGGTGGCTTAATGCTAAAAATATTCAAAATTTTACATTCATGAGGGTCAGGTCGCTATTCTTACAGTTCGATTTATTTTAAACCATGCACAAGTGTACACTTGAAGAACATGATGTTATTTTGATTATACTTTCAGCTACTCTCAGCTCAGCTTAACACATATTACCACATTTAAATCCTGTCACAGACAGAATTCTCCTGCCTTTTCCCCCCAAAACTCAGCACAGAAAATGTCAAAAAGGTCTGCAGATTCTGTGTGGGCCTGTACAGGCGGGTAGGTTTTGTCTAGATGTGGCTGGCTGATTTATAACATTGCTAAGAGCGAGTGGAGGAAGAAAGGAAGGAGGATGAGGAAGGGGTGGAGGCTGTTTTTCTCACAGGAGTTGCTCTATTGTGTCTTTTCAAGAGGAGGAAATAACTGTAGTCACCCAGACCACTCAGTGGCTTCTCTATAAAGACAGTTTGAGCCATATTTTGAGTGATAAATATCAGGCAGTCAAGACACGTAGCTCTGTTTTTGTGATTCTCCAGCACCTCAGGCGAGCTGCGTTAACAACTAGTGGTTCAGTTTGGTTGTAGAATAGAGGAAAACCAATTTGAATCGCTGCGTATAAAGAAAATTTTTTAGTTCCCACTCTTCATCCGACTGGGATGGTGGTCTTATTTATGTCTCTTTTTGTCCCAAGGATCCCTCATTTCTAGAGAAGAAGGAGAGATGTGAGTATCTGAAGAACAAACTGTCCCACATCAAGCAGAGGATTCACGAGTATGACAAGGTCATGGGCTGGAACGACGGTTACGGCTGAAACGGCTCAAACCTGCTGTCATGGTCCTTCATTTTCCACGTTTTTTACACTGAACATGTGACCACTGCGTCTGCAGAGCCTCGCTGGTCTGGATGGACGTTTATATTACAAAAATAATGAAATGAGAGATGGATAACTTGCATGCTCTTAATGTACGCTCTTAAGCACTGACTGAAAATATTTTCTTTTCACGTTGTATTTCATAATGCTGACTACAAGTGCATGATGTTTAAAGAAATGTTTCATATTTTGTATGTTTTTATCCGTTAATTTGAATGATTTTATGTACTGCTCAATTATTTTTTTGTGCTACTGTTTTAAACTGTGTTTCGATCTGTATGACAACAGCCTGTCGCCCTGTCCTTATATTTTCCGTGTTGCAAATGCATTTTGATGAGTTGAATCTGTGATTTATACTGTAAAGCATGAAAAGTCAAAGCATTTCATACAAATTTGTTGTAATTTAGTTAATCTTTGAATAAAAAAAGTCCAGCCGGGAGGCAATTCAGACAGAAAAATATTACACGCATATTAATATGTTAAGAAATGCAGTAGCAAGCTTGCATGTTGTCTAGCATTTTGATGTGTCAAACTCACTTCTCTTCTTAGCATCCACATTGTTCACTATCTGGACAGATTATGTTTAGTATACACTTCCATTTCCCTCTGGTACAACATAAGCATAGCAACATAACGTTAAAGAACACTTTCATAACTATTTGAAAAAATTCCATCAAAAAATAAATTGAACCACAAGTTCAATTATAGGCCTATTGGAATAAAAAGTAGCCTACATATAATGCAGCAATAAATTGTGTGACATTTTCTCTGAGGTGGACAGTAGCTTTTTTTGTAAGTAGATTAAAAAAATGGATAATATCTGCAACAGTGGCCATATACATGTCACCACACCTCTGTTAACTTGCGTGTTTCTTATCGCAGACTCATATTTGTATCTGTATGTCTGTATCCTGAAACTAGACGATCCCTCTCATGGCTGTGTTTGAAAATCTAATATTCTGCCTATCTAGAGAGCATGTTTAGGTACCATTGGCATTGAACATTATTTTCAGGAATTATAAACTTTGTCTTCATATATGTTTAAACATGAAGCTATCTAGGTAGGCAGCTCACTAGGTCTCTTTCTCTCTCGGTCTCTCTCGGTCTCTCGGTCTCTCTCGGTCTCTCTCTCTCTCTCTCTCTCTCTCTCTCTCTCTCTCTCTCTCTCTCTCTCTCTCTCTCTCTCTCTCTCTCTCTCTCTCTCTCTCTCTCTCTCTCTCTCTCTCTCTACGTGTGTGTGTGTGTGGGAGGGGTTTAATCATTTTAAGGACAGGTTGTTTGTCTCACCTGAACAGTGACACACACGGAACATCAGTGCCCGAGAACACAAACAGGTGAGAGTGAAACTGCAATAAATAGTTCATAATATAAGCCGTGCAATAATCATAATAGTAGCCTAGGCGAATTTATTAAGCCTATCTGCGTTAATTATCAGATCATGCCGACAATCGTTCAAAATTACTTCAGAAACCACTCAATCGCGTTTCCGCCTCATTTGTTAGTGAAGAGTCTCGGAATCTGTCGTTCTCCACTATTGTAGTTCTATTAAAAATGTGAATATTAGTATATTTTTATACTGTGTTCGCGGAGTTTTACACACTAATGGTATCTTAAATTATTTTCCTTTCACGATGACGATTGAGGTTTAGTTGAAAATATTCAAATTAGGTGTATAAAGTTTGTTAGTTTTATACTCAATGTATTTTTTTAAATCCATGTTTTTTTTCTCTTACTCTCTTTTCAGAATGTCTTCGAAGCCGCACGGGAGTCCTCCGCCCTATGATTATCATACTGAGAATGGATAGTAAGTTTTGAGTTTGACCTCAGGGTTTCTCTGGATTAAGTTACATGGGTTAATGTATAGGCCTATATTTTTTTTTATATCCATGACCTTTGTCTTTGGAACTAAATAAATAAAGGCCTCAAAATGGATCGTTGTTCAAATTGGGTTCCCATGTTCCAGTGACCATATTGGTACTGTATCGGCCAATATTACCTTTTCCCCAAACGTCAGTCTGATTAAGCCAGTGTTGTAACAATTTTCAAAAGTAGGTTACTGGGAATGCCAATAATAATTTTTTGCTATTGCTGGTAACTAAAATTATATGGTAGTCCATGTAGCCAGTATATATCTAATGTCTTTTTAGTGTGAATTTATCATTCACACTAGAACATTTAAAATAGAAATTGTACAAAAATAAATTGATTTAAATATTTTTTTTTAGAACTTTATAACTGATTATTGCTTTTGAAACCTGACTTGTATCTGGAAAATGTTGTCCTTTGAAATGGATATCTATCGTTCTATCTTTCTATTTTTTGTTTTATCTATTGTTCTATCTTTCTATTGTTCTATCTTTCTATCTATTTTCCATCTAGATTATTCACTCTAAAAACCAATGGTTGGGATTTCCCATAGTTGACCCGAACATGGGTTAAAACAACCCGCATTTAAGGGTGTTGGTCATAACATAAAAATATTGGTCATTGTATTGTGTCCCTAAACAGAATGTGTTTTCAACATCTTCTCTGCAGTAATGTTGCCGCGCAGTCTCAGCCTGCGTACTCGTACTACCCTGACGATGAGTTCCAGCACTTCTACCGCTGGACGTCTCCGCCGGGCATCATAAAGATCATGTGTGTGCTGTCGGTCATCCTCTGCGTGGGCATCTTCGTGTGCGTGGCCTCCACTCTGGCCTGGGACACGGATGGTTCAGCGGCGGGATTCGGAGGATACGGAGGAGGCTCTTATGGAGGCTCTTATGGAAGCAACTACGGTGGCGGCTACGGTGGCAGCTCCTTTGGTGGTGGCTATGGGGGAGGAGGAGGAGGATACGGAGGCTACGGTTATGGGATCCTAGGATCTCAAAATGACCCCAGGCAAGGGAAGGGTTTCATGATCGCTATGGCGATCATCACCTTCATCGTTCTGCTCATCATCTTCATCATGATCATCTCGCATCAGAAAGTGGCCCAGAGCAGGAAATTTTACCTGGCCGTCATCATCACCAGCGCCATCATGGCCTTTCTCATGTTGGTTGCCTCCATCGTCTACCTGGTGACGATTTACCCAATGGCGCAGTCGTCCGGATCTGTTCAGTTCAATCAAGTGTACGCCATGTGTGCCGCTTACCAGCAGCCTCAGATGTCTGGTGCGTTCGTGAATCAATATCTGTATCACTACTGCGTTGTGGATCCTCAGGAGGTGAGCACAACGTTGCACACAGACAAAAATTAGGTGTAGAAACCATTTTCACTCAGAAATTAAAGTACTAGTAAAACAGTAACAGTTTTTTTTTTTACTGTGAAAATGATGGACATATTTAATAAAAGTAGTGTCTTCTTTCTGTCTCTCATCCAGGCAATCGCTCTTGTTTTGGGCTTTATTGTCACCGCGGCCCTCATTATCATCATGGTTTTTGCCATTAAAACTCGCCAAAGGATCAATTATCATGGGAAGGACAACATCCTATGGCGCCATGTGAAAGAAATCCAAGACCTAAACTCACAGCCGGATGTGGAGGGTTGGGTGAGTACGATATTCATTGTTCAGGAGAATCAGTCCAGTTACTTTTCATTAAAGGGATGGCTTACCTGAAAATGAGAAAATTTGTCATTTACACAAAAGATCTTTTGAAGAAAGTCTGTAACCAAACAGTTGACGGACCCCAATGACTTCCACAGTGTAGTAAGAAAAATACTATGGAAGTCATTGGGATCCGTCAACTGTTTGGTTACCCAAATATCATCTTTTGTGTTCAGCGGAAGAAAGAAATTCATACAGGTTTGAAATGACTTGAGGATGAATAAATAATGAATTTTCATTTTTGGATGAACTATCCCATTTAAAGTATCATCTGGTCTCAAATGTTTCTCCTTGGGTGAAAAAATGTCTCTAACTAGTCAATAGTTGTTATAGAGTAAGAGTATAGAGATATTAAATGAATTTGGATGGCAGATCAGATCATTTGATGAGGAATGCTTGCGTTCATTTTGTGGACATTGGTTCTCTTATCTCTTGGCAAATGGGAGCGGAGTTTGAGACATTGTTGAGATGTCTTGTGAAACTCTAGAGGAGACGTATGTGATATTACTGGGCTCTGCTTCTCAAGAGGGAAAAACCTGGGAAATATCAGGGAAATTGTGATCTCCAGCCCTGGAAAAGTCCCAGAAATTCGTATAAATTACAGATAAAAAAAATAAATCAATTATATAAAGACAATTATTTTAAAAAAGCATACAATTATTTTTAATCTTAACAAATAATAGCCCTGTAAGTGTCATGAAAATTCTTATAATTAAAATTTTTTTTATATATATATAATAATTTAAATGAATTAAAATAAATTAGTAAGTATTAAATTGGATAGAAATTGCTTTTCATTTCAAAACATGTTTCAAAATCTGTATAGTTATCACAAATACACTGTAAAAATATTTTTTCAAAGTTGTAAAGCAATATTATTGCAGTATGTTTTACAAGAAAATACAATTTCAGTCTTTCTATAGAATTTAATGTTTAATTCAATGTGTTACTTTCTGTTTCTTTGTAAGTATTTGAAATTTACTAGGATTTTCTTTTTTTCTTTTATTAATTTTTTTGCAGACATATAAAGGGTGTTACAACAGATGTAAAATTAAACAAGGTGTCTGAAAGAAAGCAAGAAATCAACAGAACAGTTCAACACATCAATATAGACCCTCACCAATCAACCCCCCCCACCCCCCCCCCCCCCCACCCCGCCCCTAAGGCCACTTGTAGATAATTAAAAAATAATAATAATAATAAAAAAAAAAAAAAAAATGCATACAAAAGTTGTTATAAGACTGTAAACAAAAGAAAAGTCTCCCCCTCCCCATAGAAGTCTAATCAGGAGGTCGTGACATCACAATAAGGCCTTCAATAGTAGTCAGTACAGGGCTCCAAGTTTTATGAAATGATCTCAGCGAACTTTTAAGAGTGTCTAATTATTTCAAGGTGGATGCATTGCAATACCTCTCTTATCCAATCGCCATGTGATGGAGGAGCATGCTTCCATTTAAGGAGGATGGCACGCCTGGCCAGCAAAGTAGTAAAGGCAATGACGCAGTGCGCTGTAGCTGGTGTGCATGTGATTGGGGAAAGGCCGAACGGGACAGTCAAGGAATTAGGGACAAAAGTGCAATTTAGGGCCTGTGAGAGAGTTCTGAAAATGTCGGACCAATAGTCTGATAGCACCGGGCATGACCAGAACATGTGAAGATGATCGGCTGGGGATTGTCTGCATCCGTTACAGGCACCACTTCTGTTAGGAACAATTTAGCCAGTCTGGCATTAGTGAAATGGGCTCTGTGAAGCACTTTACATTGTATTAGGGCATGTCTAGCACAAATAGATGAAGAGTGAACTAAACTGAGGATGTTTTTCCACTGGTCATCGGAAATGTCAATGCCCAAATCTTGCTTCCAGGTTAGCTTAAGGGAGTCAATCGGAGAAGGAGATTATTTTACCATAAATGGTTGAAATCAGTCGAGTCGAAGGTGAGAATTGAGTCAATTTCTGATTTGGGTGGATGATTGGGAAAATGGGGAAATAACTTTTGAATAAAGTGCCTCACTTGGAAAAAAATTAAAAAGATGACTATTAGGAAGGTTAAATTTAGCTGAGAAAGAGGAGAAGACTTGGTTTTCAGACAGGTCGTTTAGAGTAGAGAGACCCTTAGCTGCCCAAATATCACAGAAGCTGTCTGCAAGGGACAGGGAAAATAAGTGATGATTTTACTAGCAATTTCTAAAAGAAAATGAAGTTATTACTACACCATTTTTTTTTCAGTGTGTAAGATTAATGTAATTTTATATGTCAGAAGATCTGAGAAAGTGAGGTCTCCATTTAATTCCTATGAGATGCAGTTCAAATATTGGAGGTTGTTTGTGATTTTTTTAGTGTTGTAAGGATCACTCCTCGACAAGCCTTTGTCCTGCAACTCCTAGTCGTCTATTGTGACTTGAAGACTATAATTTGGTCTTTTCCATACAGAGGGTCTATTCTACTCGAGATGGAGGACATGTCAGTGTAAATTCTACACCTGGGCTCATTTCTGTTGCCAAACAAAGAGTTGTTTAACTTCCTCCAGTCTCCACGTAGCACAAACCTGTTTATTTCTGGTAGTCTAGAAATGTCAGTCTGGTTTTGAATGTAGGTGGCCTGTGTGGTTACCGTGCTGTAGGTGGACAGACCTGTTTGTGTGTGTATGTGTGTGTGTGTGTGTGTGTGTGGTTGGGGGAGGGCAGCGCTCGCCGTTGGTTTCTGGGTGTGGTTTGTTGTGACAGTTTCACTCACATATATGTGCTAGATATCTTAATGCTGCTACAGAGAGGCCTTATTTTCTTTTATCTTTTATCTATTGTCTTTTTCGTCCTTTGATTTTGGGCCATTTTTGCAAATGTTAAGTGGATCAATATTACATAGCTTTTTCTGTGTGTGTGTGTATATAGACGTATAAATGTTGTAAATCTGATGATTTCCGATCAGTATTTATTAAAAGGTGAATGTTGAATCTTAATTTAATATCAAAAGTATTTGGCTTTATGTTAGGATTTATAGTGGAACTCAGTCCAGTACAGGATCATGTGCTCAGGGCGGCCTGGACTGGTTCAACCAGAAACTCAAACCTATGTGGAGCAAAAGACAATTGCTGTGGTTCACATTGAATCGGGCTGTGATTCTAGGAGAAAGATTCAAACTGCAGAAGTCTTTTACAGATGTTCTGTGTGTATTTGTTGAATCCCTCAGGATAGACGTGTTGAAACATGTCTGCCGTTTGCACCTTGCACCAAAGAATCCAATTGAGTGAATCTCACAAAAACTATCCAGAAATGTTAACTCCTAATGACACAAGCGCATCCCCCTGATGATATAAATAAAGTCTTGTTCTTTTCACTGCAATGGGCGGAAAATAGTGCAATTTGTATTGTGCAATAGTAATTACACCTATCACGATAGTATTATTTGTTGTGTGTGTGTTTTATACACCCATAGATATACATACATATACACACAGTTCACACAGTAGTGGGCAAAAGTGATGTCCGGCCTATTAAAAATTGACATTCACCCTTTATCCAAATATTATTTAAAATATAGTGTATTGTGCTTGAAGTCGTTCGTTCTATTTGTGATGATAATTCAATAAAACATGATGAATTGTGCAGAGATAATTTTTGGCCATGCTGTCCTGTCATACAAGGAAGTTATGAACGCATGCAAAAACAAGAGAGAACCAACGAAATATTAATAACTGATTATGCTGTAGTCAATATATGCTTTTTCATTTTTTGAGCTTTTTGTTTTCCTATGCATTTTTCTTTTTCATAGTAAAATAAAACCTGTAGCTTTTTTTACTAAATAATTTTGCCAGATAAACACCTGAACCAAGTTTTGTTCTTCCCTCATATTTAACAAAAAATAGAACATATTCCCTCATATTTTGGTGGTTTAATCGAACGTGTATAGTGTCATTAAAAACAAATATCCCCTCTGAACATCACTTTTGACCACTACGGTAATATAATATAATAATGAGAGTTTGGGGGATGGGAGAACTAGTTTTTAATGGTCCGGATTGCTAATAATGAAATCTCTCTCTCTCTCTCTCTCTCTCTCTCTCAGGTGAATGATGTGAATGGCGTCCCAGAGCCGCTGCTGGCTGACTATCCCGTGAAGTTCGGAGGGTCTAGGAATGATCTAGATGACGACAGTTATGACAAGCCTCCCCCCAGTGACAGTCCTGTGTGAGTACGCCACGCTTTTCTGCATGTGGCTTTGAACACACTGCATCTGATTCCAATCGGTATTTGATCAAAAATACTGTAAAATTGGTAACATTGTGAAATTACAATTTAAAAAAAAGAAAGTTTTCTATTTGAATATAGTGTAAAATGATCAAAGCTGAATGTTCAGCATCATTACTCCAGTCTTCAGTGTCACATGATCTGTGATGCATTTTTTTTTTTTCAGTATTCTTTGATGAATAGAAAGTTCAAAAGAAAAGCCTTTATCTGAAATGGAAATGTTTTTTGAACATTACTATCTTTACTGTCACTTTTGATCAATATCATTGCTCAATAGTATTGTGAAAAGTATTCATTTATTTTGTGAAAAGAAAAAAATTGTATTGACCCCAAACTTTTGAACAGTAGTGTATATACTGAAAAACAATACACCAAATTCCTATTTCTTGTACTGTCCTTATGCTAATTTTAATAATAACATTAACATGTTTTATTTATAATAATTATTAATTATTATAATTATTATTTAAAACGAATTACATAATTTTTTTTTAGTAATACTTATTATTATTAATAAAACATATTAATGTTATTATTAAAATTAGCATAAAGACAGTACAAGAAATAGGAATTTGGTGTATACATTTAAATGTCAATTTAAATGATAAATATTTTAACAATTTTAAAACCATACATACATTATATAATATATAATGTATGCATGTATGGTTTTAAAATTGTGAAAATAGTTATCATATATATATATATATATATATATATATATATATAATAAAAAAAATATATATATATAAAAAAATATATATATATATATATAAATAAATTGGATGAGACAATGTTACATAATATATATTTTAAAATATTCCATATAACAAAAAATAAAACAATGCAAATACTACAAAATGTGACATTTAAAAGTGTATAAATCACAGTTATCATAAAAATAAGCAGACCATTAAAAAGAACAGCTGAACATCAGTTCACAAATAAAATCTATTGTGTTTGATATTTGCACAGCAAGGCACTTGTTGAAACTGAACTGAGATGAATTAAATGTGTGAAGAGTTACAGTACAGGTTGTGCTAAATAAAGATTTGTCAGACGTTGCGCAAGTTTTTCTTATTCTTCCACTTCCTGTTTTCAGTGTTCCTCTCGGGTTTGAGTAATGACCACAGTCGGCATGACGAATACCTCCTCTCTATACTTGATCTCATAAAGTGCTTTCCTGATAGTAGATACAATGACGACTCTGTGGAGGAATGAAAACAATGCATTGTGGTTATGACAGAGCAAATGGCGCGTCTCTTTATGTTTGCATTATTTATTGGTTAAGCAAGGCAAGTTTATTTATTCATTCATTCATTCATCATTTTATTTTATTGTCCACAATGTGGAAATTAGCCTTCGGTCTCATAAGAACAACAATCAAACCAACAACAACAAGAACAACAGGACTAACACACAGACATCTTCGGGGCAAAATGCAGCACAGCAATAGCAATTACGTTACAATGCATCAACGGGGCGTGTTGTTCAGCATCCGAATTGCATTATGAATAAAATAATTTTTAAAAATATTACGATTTGCCCTAGGTATATTAAATATACGATTTGCCCTTATATAGCACATTTCATACACTATGGTAATTCAAAGTGCTTTACACAGAAAGGAATTCAAATAATCACAAAATAAAAGCAAGGAAAATTAAACCAGTTATAAACGAGGTATAAAGATGATAGTTCTAAAAGGAATTAATAGAGTAAAAAGATGATACATAAACTAAGCGTCTTCATCATTAGCTCACAGCTGCGTGTGTGTTGTTCAGGGAGATTCTGCATGAACTGCCGGTCCGTAGTTCAGTCCCGATGAGCAGCGGGTCCGAGATGAGCAGTTCTGCGGGACGGCCCAAGAAGCGGCGCGCTGGACGCCCTCGCACCGGTGACGCACGGGACCGGGACACAGACTACGCCTCTTCTGGAGACGAGCTGGACGACGAGGACTTCTTCAGGTGCGTTTACTGCTGGCTTTATGTGCTGTGAGTCTATCATGTAAAATGCGCTCTGAATGTGCTCTGCTTTTGTGTTTGCAGTGAATTCCCTCTCATTGTTAATAATCAAGGGAGAGAAGATTACAAACACATGTTTGATAAAGACCACCAGGAGTACAAGGATCTGCAGGCAGAACTGGACCAGATCAACAAGCGTCTGGCTGATGTGGACCGACAGCTGGACGATCTGCAGGAGGGCAGTCCTCAGTTCCTGGTACACCACTCCTCACCATTCATTCTCATCACTGACAACGAATCAATACTACAATACAATTAAAATTAGCATAAACACAGTACAAGAAATAGGATTATGATATGGACATTTAAACGTCAATTTAAATTATACATTTAATTTATAAGAGCTAAAATACTATTTATATTATAACTATATAAAACAAATGTGTTATATATATATATATATATACACACACACACACACACACACACACACACACACACACACACACACACACACACACACACACACACGTGTGTGTAATATATATATATAGCGCTGTTTGATCCGTTAATAACGGAGAAATGTGAATGTTTCTCACTAGATCTCGCAGCGATGTTATTACTTCAGTGGCGAACTCAAATGTTTTCTTTACTGGATTTGGCTGTGTAGTGACAGTGCTGATGATGAAGATCGGCTCGCGCTGCATTGGTCCAAACTGATAAACGGTCCGTCAAACACACAATAACGAGTCGCTCAGTTTTGTTCCGCTTACATTACATTTGACATCTGATGTTGGGCAATGTTGTGGTCACGCCAGCGTCTCTTACATCATGAGCTCGCTTGCCACGCGCGTCGCGCCTACATTTGAAATAATGAAATTTTGGTCAGCAGGAAAAATGGTCCAACGAACCGTTCGGTTTAAAAATGCGTACCGAAAACCGAACCGAAAGCCTCGTACCGAACGGTTCAATACGAATGCGTGTATCGTTACACCCCTAATATATATATATATATATATATATATGTATGTGTATATGAAATGATTATAAAACAATTTAAAATCATATAATAATATTATTTATTGTACTGTCATTATGCTAATTTAATATGATTGTGTGCAAGTGTAGAAATACTACTGTAAATTAAAATAGCCTACAATTTAAAATTTGATTGAATTTATTTTCTAAATCTGTTTAGTAGGCATTATTATTATTATTATTATTATTATCATTATTATTATTTTTATCATTATCATAATCATCATTTAATTTTTATTGGCAAAAAGACTGAATATGAGCATGACTTGTTTGCCTTAAAGTTGAATGTTCCCGTCAGTTACTCTGTATTATGTGTAAATAATTAACGTTAACATGGGAAAATGGTTTGAGCCACTGCTCTTGCTGACTTCAGTCGTTCTCTTGAAACAGGACGCCATGGACGAGTACAACACGCTCAAAGACAAAAAGCGGGTAAGAATGAGCTGAATCCTAGTTTTCTCACAGGAACCGGCAACACTGAAGGATGTTATCTGACTTTTCCCACTGTGACTTTTCCCACAGAGCGGAGAGTACCAGGTGAAGAAGAAGAGGTGCAAGCACCTGAAGGCCAAACTGAGCCACATCAAAAAGATGGTCAGCGATTATGACCGCAGATGCTGAAGATGCTGCCCGTGAGGAAAGTGTGTGTGTGTGTCCAGACGTGTGGCTCATTGCCATTCATGAGCTGGGCTGTGTTGCTCTCTGGACATTTGATTGATAATGCATGTAAATATTAAAGGCATTCTGAGGCATACTGCTCAAAGCAATATTTTCCCAGAATCCTTCATGAACCAGTTGTAATATCAGGTTTAACTAACGTCTAAATCCTCATTTGTTTGTTGGAGATTCTTTGTTCCAAATGTCTGATTAGCTGTTACAGATTTAACATGAACTTCTTGTTGTTTCAGTACAACAGTGTTTGTTTTAGTGTTTTTATTTTAATAGTCATTCAGGGGTAAATGTGCCAAATAATTTTCCAGGTGGGTGGTCTGAACTCTTGATAACCGTTTATGTTTGTACTTCAATCAAGCTGTGATAAGTTAGGTAAGGTTACAGATAAACATGTAACAATTAGTCTTTTAAGCTGTATTTATACCATTTTTAAGAACTTTTTACATGCTGTTATGTAAATATGTCATTTAAATGTTTAACCCTTTGATTTTTTTCCTTTCATTGTTTTTGAACTTTAAATAAAATCATTTTTATTGATCATAAATGTGACACATTTACCAGTAGGCCTAAGTGTTTATGGTTTTTGAAAGGATGTCAATAAATCCACAAAATGTTGTTAAAACCAGTTTCTTTAATTTTAGACTAGTAAACAAAGTCTTGACTTTGTCACAATTAGGTTCATGTTTCATTTAGTAATGCACCGAAATTGCGGCAAGGGGAAAATATTTGGCCAATAATTAACATTAGCTGTGATCGATACCGATCTGTAGCTTTTAATCAGTCTCCATTTTGATTTACCGAGATCTTGTTACCAGTGTATGCGCAAACAAATAAATGTGGCTGCACACATACCATCCAAAAATCACAATAAGCTTTGTTACTTTTGATATGAAACAACGTCTAGGAATGCAAATAAATAGGCCTACAATTTTGGCGCTCTTTAATGTGGTGTGACGAATCACTGTAGCGTCTCAGTTCAAGCGGCACTTGATCAAATCTCTTCTTTACTATTTAAAGCACGAAATAAACATGGATAAATAAAAGGCATGTTGAAAGAAACACAACTTATTGAAATCTGTAGTCGCTCAACCAGTTTCAACGGCAATACAAATTGTTTGTAAACAATATCCTCCCCCCTAAAAAGTTTTGTGAATTTAGTGGGGGTTTTTAGTGGTAGGATGCATACCCAAATTAATCAATATCGAATAGAATTGAAATTTAATTGCAAGCTTGTGAATCGAAATCGAATTGTGAAATTTGTGTCAATGCCTAGTCCTGATAAATTCTGCCATTTAAATGGTTATTTACGAGAGTGTTGATTAACTGATTATCAATTAGACTTTATTTATAGTTTAATTTTATTTGGATAAATGAAAACTTTAATTTCAGTTTTGGTGTTTCTGTAAAAAAAAAAAAATCAGTGCATCACTACTTAAATTAAGTTGATATTTTGCATAAACATTTCACATTTAGACACATTTTATTACAGCCAATTCAAATGTCCATGTTTAACATTATGATATCAGAGCTGATTCAAACACACTTCCAGTGTGAAGGCCCTTGTCAAGGTGAAGCTAGGTGCAGTCTGGAGTTACAAACACACACACACACACACAGTCTCTAGAGTTGTCAGGACTCAATCCTGGACTGACTGCATGTCCAGCCAGGCCTTCAGTAGTGGGACGTTCCTGTCCATCCAGAGGATGTTCTGCTGGATTTTCTCCAGGGCCTGTTGGACGCTGCGGAGCCCGGAGCCCTGATCCTGCGCTAGTGAACTGAAGAAAGTCTGAACCTACAGGAACAACACAAACAACTGCTTCATGTTCTTGGATCACCGCTTTTGGTTTTGCATGACATTAACCAGATATAATCTGACGCCCATGATTTGTAAGATCATATGACCGTCTTTATATAAAACAAAACAGCTTTTTAGATATCACTGATACGAGTAAATGAGTTTTCATCATGTTTATCAAAAGTAAAATGAATTTCTTTAAATACTTGGTGGGGAATAAAAACCAAGCAATGGACTATAATTAATACAATGTTTAAATGTATAATTGAGCTGTCACTATTTAACCATTTCAATAACTTTTTTGGACTATACAGGTCCTTCTCAAAAAATTAGCATATTGTGATAAAGTTAATTATTTTCCATAATGTAAAGATAAAAATTAAACTTTCATATATTTTAGATTCATTGCACACCAACTGAAATATTTCAGGTCTTTTATTGTTTTAATACTGATGATTTTGGCATACAGCTCATGAAAACCCAAAATTCCTGTCTCAAAAAATTAGCATATTTCATCCGACCAATAAAAGAAGTGTTTTTAATTAAAAAAAAAAAGTCAACCTTCAAATAATTATGTTCAGTTATGCACTCAATAGTCAATACTTGGTCGGGAATCATTTTGCAGAAATGACTGCTTCAATGCGGCGTGGCATGGGGGCAATCAGCCTGTGGCACTGCTGAGGTGTTATGGAGGCCCAGGATGCTTCGATAGCGGCCTTAAGCTCATCCAGAGTGTTGGGTCTTGCGTCTCTCAACTTTCTCTTCACTATATCCCACATATTCTCTATGGAGTTCAGGTCAGGAGAGTTGGCAGGCCAATTGAGCACAGTAATACCATGGTCAGTAAACCATTTACCAGTGGTTTTGGCACTGTGAGCAGGTGCCAGGTCGTGCTGAAAAATGAAATCTTCATCTCCATAAAGCTTTTCAGCAGATGGAAGCATGAAGTGCTCCAAAATCTCCTGATAGCTAGCTGCATTGACACTGCCCTTGATAAAACACAGTGCACCAACACCAGCAGCTGACATGGCACCCCAGACCATCACTGACTGTGGGTACTTGACACTGGACTTCAGGCATTTTGGCATTTCCTTCTCCCCAGTCTTCCTCCAGACTCTGGCACCTTGATTTCCGAATGACATGCAAAACTGAGCAACAGTCCAGTGCTGCTTCTCTGTAGCCCAGGTCAGGCGCTTCTGCCGCTGTTTCTGGTTCAAAAGTGGCTTGACCTGGGGAATGCGGCACCTGTAGCCCATTTCCTGCACACGCCTGTGCACGGTGGCTCTGGATGTTTCTACTCCAGACTCAGTCCACTGCTTCCGCAGGTCCCCCAAGCTCTGGAATCGGTCCTTCTCCACAATCTTCCTCAGGGTCCGGTCACCTCTTCTCGTTGTGCAGCGTTTTTTGCCACACTTTTTCCTTCCCACAGACTTCCCACTGAGGTGCCTTGATACAGCACTCTGGGAACAGCCTATTTGTTCAGAAATTTCTTTCTGTCTTACCCTCTTGCTTGAGGGTGTCAATGATGGCCTTCTGGACAGCAGTCAGGTCGGCAGTCTTACCCATGATTGCGGATTTGAGTAATGAAACAGGCTGGGAGTTTTTAAAAGCCTCAGGAATCTTTTGCAGTTGTTTAGAGTTAATTAGTTGATTCAGATGATTAGGTTAATAGCTCGTTTAGAGACCCTTTTCATGATATGCTAATTTTTTGAGACAGGAATTTTGGGTTTTCATGAGCTGTATGCCAAATTCATCAGTATTAAAACAATAAAAGACCTGAAATATTTCAGTTTGTGTGCAATGAATCTAAAATATATGAAAGTTTAATTTTTATCATTACATTATGGAAAATAATGAACTTTTTCACAATATGCTAATTTTTTTGAAGGACCTGTATGTGCTCATTTTGTATTCATACTTTAAAGGTGGACTGTGTAATTTTTAGCGGCATCTAGTGGTGAGGTTGCGAACTGCACCCAACAGAAGTTACGGTGGCCGACAGGAAGTGATGTCGTCGTCTGAGACAGCAGAGAGTAGCCAGTTAATCAATGAGGTTTCTTTACAAAGATAAATTAAGAAATTAGGTTTACTTGATTATTCAGTAAAACGATGTTATTGTCAGTGTTTTATTCGCTGACTGTAGCTTGCTTCTTGGCACGAAGAACAACATAGTGACGAAACGCGCTTGTCCGTTTAGGGCCACCGTAGAAACATGTCGATGTAAGGGGACCCGCGGTGTATGTAGATAGAAATGGCTCATTCTAAGCTAATAAAAACAAAACGGTTCATTATGTACGGTCTTTATACACCACTGAAAACATAGTTATGAGTATGATGTTGCATTTCTGTCAACAGATCCTCCTAAATATTACACAATGCACCTTTAAGCAGGAAAATATATGTAAAAGTCACCAAAATGACAGATCAATCTAAAGTACCTCATCCAGCATTTCTCTGGTGGAATACTGATCGGTCACTCCAACCGCCATGCGAGATATTGCAGAAGAACCCAGATCAAACCTGAAATCAGGATTTAGATTCAATACACCACTTATATTCACTATCTATCATGCCATGATGTGTCATAAGAATGTAAGATTTATTTGATCATATAATAAGGTCTTCAGGTAGACATGAAAGCAATAATAATGTTTCAGACAGATATCTGATACGCACTTTTTCACAAGTTTCCCCCAGTTGGTCTTCATGAACTCCCAGGCGAGCTTGAAGCCTTTTGGGTTTTTACTGACAGTGACGACCAGTGACGGCAGGTCTTGAGTTTTCATTATCTCTCCCTCAATGCTTCTTTCCAAGAGCCTAGACAGAATGAGCGAGAAAAACACAGCATAGAGCAGGTTTATGTATTACGGCCTTTTTCAAAGTCTTGATTTTGTTTTTGGACTCTACTAGAATAAGTTATAATAACATGCTTGAATGTTAAAACAAACAACAACATTATTTCCCCCATATTCTCCATTGTTGCAGCTCCTCTCTTCCCAGTCTGTCAGTAACGCTCTGTTTAGTTCCTGTCTCTGTGAAGCCCCTCCTTCTGAAAAGCACACTGTGCTCTGATTGGTCGGCTGGATCAGTGTGTTGTGATTGGTCAAGCGATTCGAGCGTGTTTGGGAAATATCCCGCCCCTTACCATAACCACCAGTTTCAGCACACTACTAACTAACTCAACCAGGCCCCGCCCCTTTATTCTGCGTATGAATTATTTAAATGAGGAATATTGTGACGTGTTCGTTCCCTGAAGAAACTCAAGACTACAATGGAGGCGTTTCAGGAGTTCAGAAACACTGACACTGAAATACAGAAGAACTTGGCAAAGCTTTTTCATGCACAAACAGCAACATTACACTAAAGAAAGATGTACAAAAGCATAATAGGACTCCCTTAATGACACTCAGGATGGAAAAGGTAAGAAATGAATCATGCTTTTGCTTGACTTTAAAGTGAAGATCGTTTCAGATAAATATGCCAAAAATGTTGACCTTTTGATCTTCATTAATGATTCATACTCCATGTCATGTTTGGGTGAACTCTGAAAATGTCATGTGACACCTCAGCAGCTTCATGTCTCCAGACTCACCACTGAAGCTTGTGAGTTAATGGAGTGTAGGCGAGGGCGGCTTTAATCATCCACTTCTCCGATGGTGAGGCGGATCGCTTGTATTTCTCCAACAGGAAGTCCCAACCTTCATCCGTGCGCGCTCCTTCAGTGTAGACCACCAAACTGACGTCGGCAGGCAGCCTGAACCAAACAAACGATATAAAGGGAATTCAAATAGCATGCAGAATGTATAATGTGGATGTTTTGTAAATCAAACAAACTCTTACCACAGTTTGCCATCAGATTCTTTCCACTTCTGGAAGCGCTCAGTGGCGGTGTTGACGCAGGACGGGTAACGGCGGACACAGGCAAACAACAGCAGATAATTCCTGAGCATCCGCTCGGACACAGATCCGTCATCAGACCAGTGCTGACGGTCAATCAGTGTCTTGAATAACTTCACTAAATGACCCTGTTAAAACAGAAAACCACCAACAGTTTGTTGAAATATAGTACACTATGAAATTCATTTTTCCCAAATTTCTGTTTTCCATTTGAATTTTTCTGGATTCTGTTTTAATAGTTGAATTTAATTTTAAAAATCAAAAAGGATGTCTAATTGAATTCATAAAATTGTAACAATTCAATAGTTTAATAAAAAATTTATAAATAATAGGGCCCTATGAAATGTGTTTTATTATTAAAAAAATTCTGTGATGTCGCTGTTTTATTTTTTGGGGGATTCTGTGTTTTATTTAATACTAATGTATTATATCATTAAACGGTGGTAATCAAATGAACGCATAAAACTTTAACAATTGAATCTTTCAAAATGTAATCAAATGAAATTTGAACAATTCCTTTCATTTTTTGGCACTAACAGAAGTTTAAAATTTGGACAAAAAGTGATATTGTTTTAGCCTGGGAAAACCCAGACAACTTCCGGCAAATTTAGATTTGCTCTGAAAGTTAGTCTGGCAAAGAGCTCATTCAAGCCCATTTCCAATCCGTCGAAATCGCGGCACCAATCAGAAACGTTGGGGCGGGCTTTACACGATGACGACAGCGCTGGGATTTTGAAGCAGATTTTGTAGCCTACATTACAAAGATGGATGCCGCCGTCGAACATCACTCGTTCCAATCAGCTATCGCGTCTGTTTTAAGCCATTTGAACGTTTCCTTTTAGTTAAAAACCGAGCAAAGAACAACACTCGGAGATGTTTCTCCACCGCTCTGCATACGTCATCTCCTTCATCGCTCTGATTGGGTTTAGGTCTATCCGCGACGTCCGTTGGTGACGCCCCTCTGGAAATGATTTGTCTATGACGCTTTGCCAGACCATAACTCAGTTACAACTGAGAATGGTCTGGTTTTAACCAGGCTAATATTATTTGACATTCCTTAAAAAATAATGTTTTATTTATTATTATTTTGAGAAGTACATTCTATTGTGCAATAGTAATATATTTCTGTCACAATTTCTTCAAGTTAAACAGAACTTTTATTAATGATTAATCGGCTCTATGCACAATCGCTTCCGTGTTTTGTCTCAGCCCGCCCAGTTACATCCGGTGCTGCGTCGCAAGCCGTTTTTGCATTTGGTGGAGATAATGGCAAATTACACTCGCTGTTTACAAGAACTTCCAGCGGTTAACGTGAATTATGTTAACAATATTGTGTGAGGCGGTTAGCTGTCACACATAAGAGTAAGAAAGAGAAGGGCATTAAATTATATATTTCGAGCTACATCGATAACTTTGAGGGTGAGTAATCTCTCATATCATGTGAAATCCGACTAGCGAATCTGTTTCTAAAATTGTTGTCTCGTTTCTGAGAAAATGAATTATATTAAAGTTTGGCTGCTAGTACACTTCGCTATAGAACGCGCTATGCGGAGCTAAAGACACTGGCTGAGATTCTACCAGAAATATGTGCATAGAGCCTATTGTACTGTGATTTATTCATCCAAACCAAAGATTTGAAATGTGATGTCTAAACTGAGACAGGAGAAAGTATCTTAACATCCAAAACATTGCAGTACTTGATAATTTCTGCAACCGCTACCTTCATCTGGTTCTCCAGTTCCTCCATGTTTCTCTTCTCCATGAGTTTGTAAAGCGGCACCAGCTCATTGAAGCCCTGCGTCACTGGCATGATCTCAGACTCTTTACTGAGGTACAAGCTCAAGTTCAGAGCTTTATCCAGAGGGACTTTCTCTATGCTGAAGGAAAGACAAACATATTCCAGCAAGAACATGAATCAACTAGGTCTGCAATGACTGACACAAATTCAAAATGTCTTAATATAATTTTTCTTTGGATAACCAAATATCGAATCATGTGTCGTTTGTGCTCTTCATTAACGTCACATTTCTTCATCACGTTTGAAGTCTCGATGTCTTCAAATCAGCTGGTGTTTAGGTGATTTTTAGTAGATGTGGGAAGTCAGTTCTCCTCTAGTTCGCACAAATAGTTTTTATCTTCATAAAGATTTCTCAAATGTTTTGCTTGAAAAGTGTGTTTGTGCATCTTTCTATACCATTAACGACACTTGATTTGATATTTTAAAGTCGTCATGTGATGATAATGTAAAAGTTCATTGTTTTGTTTTTTTGGAATAGGACAGGTTAACATGCTTTACTGTTCAAAACACATTATTTTTAACATACTGCAGTGCACATTATTGCAGTAGTCAAGTCGAGTCAAGTCACCTTTATTTATATAGCGCTTTTCACAATGCAGATTATTTCAAAGCAGCTTTGCAGAGATAACAGGAAAATAATGTAACAAAGATTGTTTCTGCTGTACAGCAGATCTAGAAGAAAATAGTGTCATAGTCCAGCTTAAGTAAGTTCAGTGATGGTTTATTTTTGTTGTAAAAAAGTTATTAATTTAGTTAATTTATATATATATAGCCGCTCTGGAGAAAAGCGTGATGTTATTGTCCAGCTCAGTTCAGTTCTCATATAATGCTGTCAATGCAGGCAGAGCAATAATATTGTTGTAATATTAAATGTCCCCAACTAAGCAAGCCAAAAGCCAAAGGTGACAGTGGCAAGGGAACCACAATCAGGAGACAGAATGGAGAGAGAAAAAAACCTTGGGAGAAACCAGGCTCAGTCGCTCAGTCCTCCTCTGGCCAATGAACGAACAGTGTATGATTATGATTCAGGCAGCATTATAGGTCAGGGGCCGGTTTCACAAAGCTATTTTAGACCGGTCTATAGTGTTAGACAAGTCTAAAATTTGCTCATAGACTAGTCTAATTAAACTGTTTTACAAAAATAAAGACTGACTTAATTTAGACCAAAAAAATTAGACCACTTACCCCAGGCTAACTCAGGTCTAAGACTCTGTTACATTGGCAACCAGCAGTAACAATCACTTACATTACAAACAGCCGAAAGAAAAGGGAAAATGGCCCTCACCATATATATTCATCACCATTTCAGTGTCTTTAATGGTTGAGGAGATTCCCCCTTCCATGTGAAGCGCTTTGAGTGCCTAGAAAAGCGCTATATAAATGTAATGAATTATTATTATTATTATTATTTAAGTTTCTCTTGGGGTCCTCCAACCATTTTTTGGATATTTCCTCTTCAATATTTCTTTTTTGGCATCTTGTACCATGTTTTTGTATCTTTTCTGTACGTCTTTAACGCTCCGCTCAGCGGTCGGATTAACGCTGTTAACTGTCGTAGCAATCTTTTTCCAAATTAAACATTTCTTCTAGTTACTACATTCTCCGCTACATTTCCCAAGTAAAATGTCATTGTAACTGTTATACTCCTCCAACACACACATATCTTCCGCTTGAGTAAACTGCACTGAGCGGATGAATGCGCTTACTCGATCCGCCATGTTTTTTGTTTTGAAAAGTGTCTTATTTTACCCAGAATGCATTGCAGTGTAGTCCTACTTAAGATAGTCTTAAAGGGTCTTAAAATAGAGTCTTAAAAAACAAACAAAAATAACGACTTTATTCAGCTATTCATTTCTTTCTCTGTGGGCCTCGAGTGAGTTCACGTAGTGAAACTACGCAAAGCTTCTAGGTTGTACGTCACGCATCACACACATGACCAGCGTCGGCCAATAGTGAGCCTACGTGTGACGTGCAACACAGAAGCTTTGCGTAGTTTCACTACGTGAACTCACTCGAGGCCCACAGAGAAGGAAATGAATAGTTGAATAAAGTCGTTATTTTTGTTTGTTTTTTGCGCACAGAAAGTATTCTCGTCGCTTGATAAACTTAAGGTTGAGCCACTGTCGTCACTCGGACTATTTTAACGATGTCTTTCATAACTTTTGGGCCGACCAGTTTCAATCCCTTAAGAAGCCTATGGAGGAGTGATCCAGCTCTCAGATTTAATCAAAAATATCTTAATTTGTGTTTCGAAGATGAACGAAAGTCTTACGGGGTTGAACAACATGAGGGAGAGTAATTACTGACAGAATTTTCTTTTTTGGGTGAACTAACCCTTTAAGTGCTTTGTGCAATGGTCTGATTTAGACGTCTATCTGAAGTCTGACTATCTACTATATCTAAGCCATAGTCTAAGTCTATCTTTGTGAAACCGACCCCTGAAGTCAGATTGGATTGGAACATTCAAAATATGTATCCAGTTCCATTATGGCGTTAAATGTGTGCCTCAATCCTGAGCGAGTAAATGTAAGTTTTGAGCACAGAGAACTATATTTTGCAAGCACATTGCATTATATTTTGAACAGAAATTAACAATCGCAAAAAAAAATAATAGTTTGAGCAAAGAAAAAAACGATTCCGTGCTCAATAAATGTATTTGCTATTATCCATATTAATGTGCAATAATAACCCCTCTCGCGCAGTTTACAGGTGCTCTCTCACAAACTTATTCTCTGCGCTCCTGTCAAGTCCCTCTCTCTCTCACTCAACCTCTTAATTCTGTGCGCGCTCAACTCTTGACACACACGCTCGCTCAACATACAACAGCGTTACAAGTGTGCCACAAAATCAACCAATCGGAAAATTAAAGGTCAATTGTGATTGGCTGTTGGTCTCCAATCAAATCGCTAGTAGAACCAAAGCCCGTCTGGTAGAACTATCCACTACACCATCAAGCTTACTGGAAAAAAAATAAAAAAAAATAACTGACTACAGCGAGACTAATGGATTAAAACACATTTTGGTAAGTATTTTTTATTATTATTAACTTAAAGGTGTCTTGTTAGTTTTGTGTATTATAATGCTTTTGTGTTGTTTAACTTATAATATTACAGTAGCCTATATCTCCTATTGTGACTAAAGTTAGTTTGACTTATCCTTTTCACCATTTGACTGTCATGTTTGATGGTGGCTAGAGAAGACATCTATCCATAAAATTCATTTTTCGTCTTTTATTGTGCTGCGTGGTGATTGGAGACCAACAGCCAATCACAATTGACCTTTAGTTTTCCGATTGGTTGATTTTGTGGCACACTTGTAACGCTGTTGTATGTTGAGCGAGCGTGTGTGTCAAGAGTTGAGCGCGCACAGAATTAAGAGGTTGAGTGAGAGAGAGAGGGACATGACAGGAGCGCAGAGAATAAGTTTGTGAGAGAGCACCTGTAAACTGCGTGAGAGGGGTTATTATTGCACGTTAATATGGATAATAGCAAATACATTTATTGAGCACGGAATCGTTTTTTCTTTGCTCAAACGATTTTTTTTTTGCGATTGTTAATTTCTGTTCAAAATATAATGCAATGTGCTTGCAAAATATAGTTCTCTGTGCTCAAAACTTACATTTACTCGCTCAGGATTGAGGCACACATTTAACGCCATATTCCATCTGTTCCATTTAATCCAAAGTGTCGTATTACAGAAAGTCAATGCATTGCAAATGCTGTTGGCAGTTCCCTCACCTGACCAGCTGAAAGATGTCGTGGATGAGACTGGCCCTGTCGTTGCTGCTGAACACTGTGTGGTTCTGCTGGAGTTGAGTGATCAAAGCGTCCCAGCCTCCCGACTCATAGTGTACAATATAATACCCCCGCAGGTCCACATTGAATTTAATCCACTCCACCTTCTCTGACAGGTACAGCACATCTGGAGACACACAGTCAGATCTCAACATGCGCTGAACAACATGCTGGGAAGGTCAACATGTTGGGTTAGTTTAACATTTGATGCCGTGACACACACCTTTTTCACTTTTCAGCAAGAATCGCTGCACTGCACTACTGTGACTGGTGATGTAAGTCAGAGGGACCTGCCACAGGAAGCTTGACGTACTATGAGAAATCAGTTACAAACAACAAATATTATTATTGCTTATGTGCTATTGCTATGTCTTAAGTGAACATAAACAGGGAACAAAGAAAACACATGTCTCTATAATAAAGTTAATCAAACAACAAAAGACAAAGAGAAAAAATTCACTTGCTGTTCTTGACTGAATAACTTTTGTAACAATATTTGTAATGTAGCCTATATTTTATTTATAATGTGCAGTGTTATTTTACATTTAATTAGTTTGTGTACTTGAAAATCTTAAAACGGTTTATTTAAATTGTATCTTTGTTCAGTTGTATTTATTTGTGTGATTTGCTAATTTGTTTATTTGTCTTCTTTAATTAACTTGTCTGTAATAATGCTTTGCATTTATATTCGTTAGGCTAGTTGTTTTTGCTATGGTATTTTTAAACCACAGGCAAAAGTTCCTTGTGTATTTATTCCTTGTCTATTTATAGGCATCAATAAAATATGTGTTGCAATAAGACTTAATATGCAATAAATGTGAATGTGATTCCCTTTCAAGGGAACTTCGAGCTGCGTTTGAGACGCGGTGGGAACGCTCTGCGTGATTGCGTCATGAAGCACGTGTAAAATCAGTCCAATGGAAGCCCGATACGTCATGGGTGACGTCATAGACCAGGAAACTATAAAGCACCCTTGAAAACAGACCGCGACAGCTTCTGTTGTCTTCAGCAAGCGCTCTCTGTGATTCTGTCCTTGTCTATTTATTGTTGTTTGTCAAGCCCAATATATATATCACTATCTATCATTATGGCGAGCAAAGCAATATTATAGACGTTGTGTTGTTCCCTGCCCTCGTTACATCACGGGTGGGGACACACATCAGCTTTTTGTTGCTGTTTGGGAGTGGAGCATGCAACAGTCATTTCTCGAGGGATCTGACTGTGCATTGCGAGAAGCTGTCCGTGAGGACGCTCCGCTCCCGCCGGGCGTTCTTCGAGGAGGACGTTTCGGTTCGCGTTCCCCGAGCGGGTCTCTCTGTTGCCGAGGCACGGAGACGGCTCGTATTTCGGGGTTCGAAAACGGATCTGACAGCGGGGGTTGGGACGGGCTCCGCCCTTTCTCAGCTTTCACATGCCAGATCTAGTGTGCTGCGATTTCCAGTTCCGAGGAATTGGTATCGTTAGTGTTTTGTTTAAAAAGAAAGAGAACAAAACAAATACAAATCTTTATAAAAAGGCAGATGTTTGAGTTTTCAATGAATACATTTTCCAGCTCATAACTCTGTTGAATAAAGAGGAGCTTTTTTAAAGAAAAAAAAAGGAGGTTTTATCTAGTGCTGTTGCCAGTTTAATATTTACTGGCCAGTTGAACATTATGAGATTGAAAATAAAGAAGAGTTTGTTAGATGAACTGTATCTTAAAACAGGAAAACTCTGTATCTCAGCCTCCTCGTCGGGGACTGTGGTTTTTCCTTATCTCCACACTGAGGTGTCGAGATCGTGGAATAAACCGGTTTGTATTTTATGTGTTTAATCCCCAGATGTCTGACTATAGTAATGTTTGGGTATTAAGTATCATAGTATGACATTGCCTCGGGTTAAAGAGACGCTTGCGAGCTTTCTCTCTCCCGAGTCGGCGTTATCGTTATTAACCCCGACGTTACCCACCAGCCATCTTAATAATGAATACATTTTTATTAGGCAGCGCTGGTGGGTAGAGTATATAAGGACATGGATGAATGTGAGGGGCGACTCTCTGAGGAGGGTCGCAGCGCTGCCAGTTCGGTTGTTTCCTGCTGGTGGCCGCAGAGTGATATATATATGTATATATATATATAAGTTTTTTTCTGATATAAAGATAAAGGAAAATAAAGATATAATTATGTCTGTTCTTCTGGACGCTCCGCTTTCAAGAAAACTAAGAAATAAACCATTCAGCGGCGTTCCAGAGGTTTCTTCCTCACCAATCTTATGTTCCTGAGACGGCCAAAAAATATTATGCTCCTCTCAGCACAAAGTGCAAAACAGAGCGTCGCCATTCGGGCTCCTCCGCAATTGAGGGGTACCTGGGTGGCGGTCGCAGTCTAGCCAGTTAGAGACATGCAAGATCTGTTTTATCTCTAAAATAGCTTTGACAAAGAAGAAGCCCTGACGCCGAGGCGATCAGGCTTCTAAGGGTGGTCCCCTCTGGGGTAGGGACGGTTTTGAGAAATCGTTTCTCCTCAGCGCCCTTTGGGGTGCGACTCTCTGAGGAGGGTCGCAGTACTGCCAGTTCGGTTTCCCTGCCGGTTCGCCGTTTCAGGGCACCAAGGTGTCAGTGTCCCCAAACGAGCCTTCAAATAAGAAAAAAGAAGAGCAGTCAGTTCGGTTTCCCTGCCGGTTCGCCGTTTCAGGGCGCCGAAGTGCCTGCTTTTTTCAACGATCCTCCGAGGAGGGTCGTAGGAACTAAGCTAGTTAGAGGTAGGCAAGATCTGAGGACTGTCATCATCTCTAATAAAGCTTAGACAAGAAGTCCTGTCGCAAGAAAACGAGGCTATCAGGCTTCTGAGGGCTCCTCCGGGGCAGGGGCGGTTTTGAGAAATCGTTTCTCCTCGGCGACCTCTGGGGTGCGACTCTCTGAGGAGGGTCGCAGCGCTGCCAGTTCGGTTGTTCCCTGCCGGTTCGCCGTTCAGGGCACCGAGGTGTCAGCGTCCCCATACGATCCTCCGAGGAGGATCGTAGAGCGGTCAGTTCGGTTGTTCCCTGCCGGTTCGCCGCTTCAGGGCACCGTAGTGACTGTTCAACCAAGGGACGGTTTTGAGAAATCGTTTTTCCTCTGGGGTGCAACTCTTTGAGGAGGGTTGCAGCGCTGCCAGTTCGGTTGTTCCCTGCCGGTTCGCCGTTCAGGGCACCGAGGTGTCAGCATCCCCATACGATCCTCCGAGGAGGGTCGTAGAATGGTCAGTTCGGTTGTTCCCTGCCGGTTCGCCGCTTCAGGGCGCCGTAGTGACTGTTCAAACAAATCCAGAGGCCAGTCTTGAGAGACTGGTTCCCCTAGTAAATTTCTGGCAGCGTGGAAACTACTGCCACATATTTCTAAGTGGGTCCTGCACACTATAGAAAAGGGTTTCAGAATTCAGTTCGGTTCTCGTTCGCCCAGATTTCTAGGGGTCCTCCTCTCATTGGTGGACCCCGAGCAGGCTTTGGTTATGGAGCAGGAAGTACTGTCACTTCTGCAAAAGGAGCTGTAGAAGGGGTTCCTCCTCCCAGCAGACAGCCATTACTTCATTGTTTCCGAAAGAGGATGAGGGAGGTTCCCGAGGTTTGCTTTCGGGGGCAAAGCATTCCATTATCGGGTTCTTCCATTCGGCCTAGGTTTGTTACCCCACACCTTTACAGTATGCGTGGATGCAGCTCTGGCTCTTCTGAGACTCCAGGGCATTCGCGTATTATACTACATCAATGATTGGTTGCTCCTAGCTCAATCTGAGTTTATGGCAGTTCGGCATCGAGATGTCGTTCTGTCTCATTAAGGATGTTGGGGTTGCCTCTCAACGCCAAGAAGAGTGTGCTCTGAGGACCACTTTTCTAGGTGTAGCAATTCTTACAGCCGTAATGGGGTATATCTAGGCCAGTCACTCACTGTGAAACAGTTTCAGACGGGTGGGTCTCATGGCAGTTGCGTCCAACGTATTACTTTTGGCCTTCTGTTCATGAGACCCCTGCAGTGGTGGCTCAGGACCAAGGGGTTTTCTCCGAGGGGAAATACGTTTTCGCATGATCAAGGTCACGCGGCTATGCCTTCGTGCTTCGGTCATGTGGAAGAACCTTGGTTCCTCGCCCAGGCCCAGTGTTGGGGGCTTCTTGTCGACGCATATTGCTATCGACGGATGCTTCCCTCACAAGTGGGGGCGATCATGAGTGGTTGCTCGGCGAATGGCGGACAACACACTGATGGTCTCGTATATCAGAGCAGATATCCTGTTGAGGCAGGGGCTGAGGCCCAGGGGATTGGAGACTTCACCCCGAGGTGGTGGAGCTTCTTAGGGAGAACTTTGGTCTAACTAAAGTCAAGTCGACCTTTCACATTGTTTGTACAACGCATTGCTCTATATGGTTCCCCCTCACGCAGCCAGCTCTTCTCGGACTGGATGCGATGGTGCAGGTGTGGCCGAGGCTGCACCTGTACGCATTTCCCCCGATATCTATGCTCCCGGAGGTTCTGGAGAGGGTTCGCCGGGAAGGGGCTCATCTGCTACTAGTAGCCCCATACTGGCCGACTCGAGTTTGGTTCTCGGACTTTGTCTCTTCTGGACGGCTCTCCCATGGAGATTCCGTTCAGGAGGGACCTGCTGTCCCAGGCAGGGGGCACGATATTTCACCCTCGACCGGAGTTGTGGAAACTGTGGGCCTGGCCTCTGAGGGGGCCAGGCTCATAGAATCCAGTCTCTCGACTGAGGTCGTTGAGACATTCTCCATTCCAGAGCTCCTTCCACGAGAAGACTGTATGCACTGAAATGGAAATTTTTCTCCACCTGGTGTGGTGAGCGTCAGTTAGATCCTGTTAACTGCCCTGTTGGTTCAGTTCTCGATTTTCTGCAAGACCGTTTCTCTGCTGGATTATCTCCTTCCACCTTAAAAGTTTATGTGGCGGCTATTTCGGCCTATCATACCCCTCTGGGGGGTACTTCTTTTGGGAGAGATCCTCTGATTACTCGTTTTCTCCGTGTTACATTGAGGTTGAGACCTGCACTGCACTCTAGAGCACCGGCTTGGGATTTAGCCATTGTACTTGAGGGTCTGGCTCTGGCTCCCTTCGAGCCTATTGAAGAGGTTTCAGAAAAATTCCTCACTTTGAAAGCTTTATTTCTCCTTGCTATTTCATCTATCAAGAGAATTGGAGATTTGCATGCCCTGTCGGTTGCTCCGTCATGTCTGGAATTTGCACCTGGTATGGTGAAAGCATTTCTATACCCTAGACCGGGTTATATTCCTAAGGTCCCAGTTAATGTTGGGGGCCCAATAGTGTTGCAGGCCTTTTATCCTCCACCTTTTAATACCCCAGATCAGGAACAACTGAACCTGTTATGTCCAGTTCGGGCATTGGATGCCTACGTTCACAGAGCTGCCCTGTGGCGTAAGTCAGAGCAGTTATTTGTATGTTTTGGGTCACTCAGAAGAGGGTGCCCTGCATCTAAACAGGTTATGAGCAAATGGATAGTCGAGGCTATATCATTGGCTTATGAAGCGGCCGGTCAGCCTTCACCTATGGCTTTACGGGCCCATTCTACAAGGAGTATGGCGGCCTCTACGGCCTTAATTTCGGGTGTTTCCCTTCTTGACATTTGTAATGCGGCAGGTTGGTCCTCTCCACATACATTTGTCAGGCTTTATGACCTTGACCTCTCCACTCCTGGGGCGAGGTTGCTTGCTTCTTAGTGTGCGCAAGGACTTCACACAGAACGGGCATTTGTCACTATGGCGTAGTGGGTATGGGGTTCCCACCGCGTCTCAAACGCAGCTCGAAGTTCCCTTGAAAGGGAACGTCTCAGGTTACGTATGTAACCCTGGTTCCCTGAGAGGGAACGAGACGCTGCGTTTGCCTGCCATACTTCCTGCATGCCCTGATCGACTTGCTTCAGACTTTTTCAGAAGCTGTCGCGGTCTGTTTTCAAGGGTGCTTTATAGTTTCCTGGTCTATGACGTCACCCATGACGTATCGGGCTTCCATTGGACTGATTTTACACGTGCTTCATGACGCAATCACGCAGAGCGTTCCCACCGCGTCTCAAACGCAGCGTCTCGTTCCCTCTCAGGGAACCAGGGTTACATACGTAACCTGAGACGATTTTTTTACCGTACTGGAATCGAAATTAGGATAAAATCAATAAGAATCAGAATCGATAAGCAGAATCGGAATCGGTAAAATTTAAATGATACCCAACCCTATTACCCTTTTTTACTTCTTATTTGATCAGAATGCCGTAACATACTATTTTTAAAGCATAATACTGTTTGAATAGTTTTTGTTGCACACTGTGTTGCTTCACATGGGATCTTTGTTTAGTATGCATTATGCATACCTTGAAGATTTTTCTCCTTTAAGATAGCGCTCCTGTTTGAGGATGACCTCTTGACCTTTGACCTCCACCGTGACTAAAGGAAACCCCTCCTGCAGTGTCCAGGTGTCCATGATGGCTCGGACGTCAACACTGTCCTCCATGAACCATTTCTGCTGGAAAAGGATTGATTTACTGATATATTATGAAATGATATGACCTGATATATAATATAACATATTACATATCGTATAATGCCATTTCAGCTAGAACAGGATTGTTTTACTACATTAACTGAATAATTTATTTGTTTTGTGGCTCATATCGTGTCATACATATCATATCCTATAACATATAAATCAGATAATATCATCATATAACATATCATGTCATATATATAATATCATGTATCATATCACGTCATATATCATATAATATATTATCAAATATATCATGTCATGTCATATATAAAATATTTCATGTCATATTATATAATTTATTGTCATATATATATTATATATTATCATGTCTATAAAATATGACATCATATATTCTACATTATAAAATTTATCATGTAATATATAATACATTATAAAATATATCATGTCATATATAATTTCACATAATATATCGTCATATAATATATTTTATCATATCATATCCCATCATACATCATATCACATAATATATCGTCATATAATATATTTTATCAAATCATATCCCATCATATATCATATCATATACAGTAGATGCTGTCAATGTTGCTATGAACCCAGAACATTCCTTTAAAAATGAATTAAAAAAATGATAAATGATTGCTACATATTATGTATTTAATGCAGCACTCACAGAAGCTGGAGATTCAGCCCTACTTTTGGAACAGAATCCATCGAGTTTAAGTCTCCCCGAGTCCAGTCCATCAGAAGTGCAGATCTGAAAAGGTTGAAATGCGTTTGGACTCAAGAGCATTGGTTGAAGCTGCCTTGAGTGCTGGAGAACATACACAGGAACCAACAGAGGTCACTCACATTGGTAAGACTTTCCCAGAGGTGAGCATTGACGGTGTTCTGGTAGCTGTGTCTCTTCAGGTAGTCTATAATACCGTGCTTGAAAGCCTCTGGGGTCAGGAAATCCCTCAGCATGTTCAAGATACACGCTCCCTTGAGAGATGATGAACAACCAGTAGACAAATTACAACTAATTATTCACGTAAAGGCTTTTAGAGATTAGTGGACAACCAATATATCGTCATGGCCGATATTTGGCATTTTTAAATGTCATTTTTAAGTTTTTCTGTTTGGTCACGAAGTGCCAGAATCAGCTTTTATTTTGACAGAGATGGAACTTTTATTTTGACAGTGCTAAGAATACCAGCACCTGATGTGAATGTAAAAGGCTAACAGAATCAAGAAGTTGCTAAAGCTTAAATTAGTTTTTTACAGATTTATTTTTTAAGCTCAATAACAATGTCATATTGATTCATATTACAATTATTTCTAAAGTCGCAAATATGTTAAATAAATAAAATTTTCATTGCTGCAATGTTTATGCATGTTATTATAATTAAAGGTTCACTAACTTTTTTGTAAAAATGCAGTTTTGTTTTTTTAACTGCTAGATGGTCGAAAGTTACATAATGTACCTTTAAATAGTGTAATATCATATAATCACTATAATCGGCCACCCTGCTCTCTAAGATATTAGTATCAGCATCAAAAAATCGATCCTGGTCGACCGCTATTAGAGATATATAAAGTGCTTGTTGTGTACCTTTCGGTAGGAAACGTCATCAAACATCTCGCTGATTTCCGCAGGATTCTCCACTGGGGTGGAAATGGGGTGTGAGGAGATTAAAGAGTCCACTGACATGGCGGTGAAGCACTTCTCCAGGAAATAATCATCCTAAAATAGAGACACTGAATAATATCAGCTCTGTTATAGTTACATATCAGTCAGAATCTGTTGAAATGACCATATCACAATCTCAACTAGGGCTGGGCAGTGTGATGATGATATACAATTAAGGCTGAAAGTGACGTGCGGAGGGGAGATTTGTTTTTAATGTGCCTACAAGTTCGATTAAACCATTAAAATATGAGGAAAATATTTGATTCTGTTATATATATATATTAAAAATCTGACAAAAAAGGCAAACTACAGCTACAGGTTTTATTTTACTACAGTTTAAAAAAAACTCACTTTGACTACAACATAATCAGTTATTAATATTTTGTTGGTTCTCTCTTGTTTTTCGCATGTGTTCATAATTTCTTTGTATGACAGTCTGGCTAAAAGCGAAGTCCACACAATTTGGCATGTTTCATTGTGTTATCATCACAAATAAAACAATCGACTGTAATATGTAATACGCTTACAAAATCTATTAACATATTTTTCATAAAATTGTATATGCTTTTTTTCATAATGTGCAGATGTCAATTTCCTAGGCCGGATATCACTGGGGGAGACGATATAAAGTGTCTATCCTAGAGATTTTGCTATATCGTTTTTATTGTCGTATGTACGAATGTACATAGCACAGCAATAATAAAATTTATTGACACTTTAAAGTTTTAACATGCATAAATAAGAGCATAAAGAGCAGGATGTGCAATGCTTGATGTTAAAAAGAGTAAAGCGCAATACACCATGAAAAAAGGTAAGTGTGTTACTCGCACGCGCAGCTTTTTGCACTTGAATGGTCAAACACACACAGAATTATGTTAAAATGCCCAGCGTGTGAAGTATTCACATAACCACAGCTTATGATGACTTAACCTCAACTATTAGATAGTTGTATTAAATGTAAAGATACGTGGTCTCACCACTTGCAGCTCAGGGTGGGTGATGTTGACGGACACATACTCCATGAACTTGGCAAAGCCCTCGTTTAACCACAGGTCATTCCACCACTGCATTGTCACCAGGTTTCCAAACCACTGGATAACAGATGTGAGTGATTAGCCATCAATTACATCATTCAGTAGTCAAATATTTTTGTATAATGAAGTTAAACTGCCAGGCAACTGATATCCTATATATATCTCTGCTAGTTTCATGTCTCCAATATCACTTATCTGGTAACACTTTACAATAAGGTTTTATTTGTTAATATTAACAACAATGAACAATACTTCTACAACATTTATTAATCTTGGTTAATGTTAATCTCAACATTTACTAATACATTTTTTAAATCAAAAGTTGCATCTGTTAACATTAGTTACTGTACATTTTTATTACCTAACATTAACAAAGATGAATGCTGTAAGAATATATTTCTCATTGTTAGATCATGTAATTTAATACATTAATGTTACCAAATGAGAGTATTGTGAAGTGTTCCCACATATCTCTTCTCCTCGCATTATAAAACAATCTCTATTTATGTATTTATTTGTTAAGTAGTCATGCAATAAGCAGGATAATGTAGTCATATAGGCATCAACAAAATATATTTTGTGAAAGAGGCCGACTAGCTGTATGTGATCTCTTAGTTTACTTAGATTGAATTAGTAACAGAAATATCAACCTGATGGGCTAGTTCATGGGCGATGACTTTGGTGATGCCCAGTTTGTCAGAGGAAGAGGATTTCTCAGGGTCAAAGAGCAAACCGGACTCCCTGTACGTCGACAGACCCCAATTCTCCATAGCACCGGACTGGAAATCTGGGATCGCAGCAAGATCTACAAATAAAAGATAATTATAGCCAAGTCCTAAAAAGCCTATAAATATACTGATTACAGCTTTGCATTATTTGATGCCAGATTGCACACTAAAGTATGCATGCCATTTTCACCAGCAGTAAAGATGGTGACTGCTGAACTTTCACACTCACCGTGTTTGGGAAGTGGATACGGGATGTCAAAATAATCATCATAAAAGTCTAGCAGTGTGACGGCGGTGTTCAGAGCATATTCCGCTTGATTGATCTTCTCAGGAACCGTATACACGGATATCTACATCAGGATTCAGGTTATGAGGAGTGAAACCACAGTTTTATTCAGGTCTGGGTGTGTTGTAAAGTGCATTTATAATGCTTTTGGCAATAGTATCGACTTGCCTCAACTCCATGCTGACTCTTTTTACTGATGGAGTGGAAGTCACAGATGATGAAGGCCACCAGGTAGGTGCTCATCTTCACCGTCGTGTCGAAATGATCCTCCAGGAGCCCGTCAGCCAGCTCTACAGTTCTCAACTATTGGATGAAATAATCTTTCATTGGTTTACTTTACATGAAACAGTCTGAAAAAGAAATCACTGAGTTCAATGTCAATAAATGACATTGCAGATTGTGCAATTTATAAATTGACATCCAAAGTTGTGAATTGTGTGCAAAATTGGAATATCGCATAACATTAGCATTTCCATCCCATGTGTTCAAGAGAACAAAATCGTCACTTCCTGGGAAATTTGTATGTGGTAAAAATGGAAGTTGCTGCAAAATCGGGGAAGAAACTGAGGCTCTTTTATCCTCCATCATGTGAGACGCTTCTCGGAGGGAATTAAACCTAATCATTCTGATGACAGACTTTGGCTCAGTCATTTCATCATGTCAAACATTTGAGATGCTGTACGATGCAATTGGTCCACTGGCTAGTCCAGTTATCCAATCACATCCACTGCTGAGGCACTCACGTGAGTTTTTTGTTGCGCATCAAAAAATTTATTCTGTAAACGTGTTTCCATCGTCTTCTTATCGAATGAAAAAATTACCCACCTCAATTAAGCGTATACATTTTTTCATGCACATTTTTAGAATTTATGTGCATCTTGGTGTTTCCATCCAGTCTTTTTTTATGCGATATCCCAAAATTTGCCTAAAAATAGGTAGATGGGAACATAGCTATTGACCGTTATGATAGTTAATGATTATGATGATTCATTTTTGATTTGCCGGAAAATACTGGCTAACCTATGATATTTTTCTTGATATTTTGTGACTTTATTTTATTTAGGATTATGAAAAGCTGATGTGTTGTGGAATGTGTGTACAAAATTGTATTACAATTATGACGTTGATCATGGTTTATGGTTAATGGTTAAATGTAGCAGCACAGAAACCCATTTGTATTTTGAGACAGTTTCTCAACAACCCACTAAGGGTGTTTACATTTACATGAATGCATTTGGCAGATGCTTCAATTAGAAGAAATTTACACTGCATTGATGCCGTACATTTCTATCAGTTCATGGATGTTAATTTCACTGGGAATCAAATCCATGATCTTGAGGTTAGGAGCGCCAGGTGTAACGGACGTAGAGTCGGAGCAGGTCGAGTAGGACCAGTTAAATGTGGTGTAAGGGACGTAGGCCAGTAAGAGCTGTGCGTGTATTACGTGTAAACCTCACTCCCCTGATCTCAAGAGGCGCTAGCGGCAGAGGTTTTAGCATCCTTGTAAGCGCGCGCGCCGGAGACACCGGTTCGAATCCCGGTCAAGTAGGACATTTGGTGCCGTGACCCGGATGGGAGTGAGGTTTGGGGGGGGTTAGTGTAATGTGTCTTTAGCATTCTTGAGAAGCTAGTGTTATACTTTCTGCGTCCGCGAGGGCTCGTTAGGGTCGCGTGATGTAAAAATCGTCATCGGGAGGGTGTACGCGGCGGCTCTTTGCCTCCAATTTTTTGTGACCACGCGTCACTAGGCTGCAAAAGCACCAACTGCGCCGATCTACTGTGCATGTGCAGAACATGTCCGCCAAGCGGACCCCAGCATACACTTTTTAGTAGTATAATACAAGTAGTCCGTGTCTGTGCTGTCCACAGCTGTCTGTGTGTACGCGTCCAAACTGGAGTATAACCGAGGCTTCAGCGTGCCCGCCTCCCAAGCCAGAGACCCCGGTTCAAATCCCGCTCGGAGCGGGTCAAATAGGACCGGTTAAATTGGGTGCCATTGACCTGGATGGGAGTGATGTTTAGGGGGGTGAGTGTAAGGGACGTAGGCCAGTAAGAGCTGTTTGTGTAAACCTCACTCCCCTGGCCTCAAGAGGTGCGCTAGCACTGGCGGTTTAAATCCCGTTCGGAGCGGGCCGATTAGGACCAGATACACAGGCTTCTACTGTTTGAGCTTTTCCACACTTCTTCTGTTGAACATATTTACAATACTGTTTATATAATTGACTTAATTTATTTTTAGTGTGTGAGAACTATTATACCCATTTTTTTTGTTTGGTTTTTCTTTGTGATTTTGGTGAATTACATTGAATCCAATGTGACCTGCACCATAAAGATCATACCCAGATTTAATACAAGGTTTAGTTATGTGTACCTTGGGCATGTTGGATATGGAGATGTGCCTTGATTCTCGGCGCATGCGGATGGTAAAGTTGGCTTTGAACGCAGGTTCATCAAAACAAGGGAAGGCGGCTCGAGCATGTGTCGCCTCAAACTGAGTGGACGCCAACATCCTGTAGGGAAAAAATAATAATTTTGAGGGTTGTTTACTCTTCAAACTATCAATTAGTCACAAAAGCACTAATGTCGTGGTTCCCATACCTGACCTCCCCACTATTCGTGGTGTATCTGCCTTTATAAAAGCCATGAAAACTGTCTGATAAGTTGGCGTAGAACTCCAAACGCACCAAATGGTTTCCTTTCTCAAATGTGAAGCCATCCGCAAAGAGTGCAATCTGTTCATTGGCTTCAAACTCACTGGTTTGAAGATCTCGATGATGTCTGGACTCTAAAAGCTGTGCTTTAGAGATCTGAAGGTTCTTGCTGTGGAGGATGATGGCTCTGGTGTCCTGCTCTACCTCTACGAGGATCTGGACAACACCAGTGTAGGTCAGCGAGGTCAGGTTGGGGTTTATCAGGAGCTCATAGTGCTGGGGTTTCACTGTTTCTGGCAACCGCATCTTCTCCCAGGGAAAAGGCAACACATTTGTGTCCGTGTTGACAGTCATTCCATGGTTGCCAGTTAAAAGAACACATAATAAAATGGGAAATATAAGGCAGTTTAAACCCCAAGACTGGGAGAAGAGCATGATTAAAAACAGAAGTTTAAGATCAGCTTTCTATGCGCTTGTCAATTTGGTTATCAATAACACACATGAGCACTGCTTACGAACTTTAGACGTCACAAACAAAGAAAAACACAAATTATATCTAATTTACAGTCGAATTCAGCGGACAAAAAAGAACGAACCCACGCGCGAAATCCCATAGGTAACTGAAAGTGAAACTACGCAGCTGTCAATCACAATATCTAATTTCCTTTCGTGAAAACGTCTCCATTTTGCGCTCAGATTCTAGTATTACATGCTGGAGCTTAAAACACATCACATTACGTTTTATATAACAAAAAAAAACGTATCTATGTGCTTGCGATGAAACGTTGAACGCAGCAGTGAACACTCTCATGAATATTAATTAAGGTAAGGATAAGAATTAGGATACGTGATTCGACGCTTCAGGAAGTACACCAAGCTACGTCATGACGACTAATTAATTATTCATGATATAAGCCTTCTTCAGCTGAAGTTGGGAAGAAATAGCGGCCTCTGTAGCAGTGGGTCAAAAACACACCATCAAACCAAAAAATTATACGTTTCCAGTTACAGACACACTGATTAATTAAAAATGATTGAGCAAAGTGTATTGTTGCATGTTGGGACTGCTTATCAAAATAGAATGACAAATACATTATGATTTGATGAACTTATATTTATTGGCCAATTTCATCACTAAACAAAATGTGGTTATTTCTTGTGGATTAAAAAATAGACAAAACAAAACAAAAAGAAACGTAAACATGTATATTACATGTCTTGTGATTTGTTTTTAATTTTACTCAGTCCATTATGACACTTAATTCTCTTTATCCACATCTTGCAATGCAATTGTATAGAAACAGGTCATTAGAAAATATAAAATGGTCCCTGAGAAAAAGCCAAAAAAAAAAAAAAATCGCCATTTAAATCCAAAATAATAAGGTTTGTAAACCTTCCAAAATTGTTTCAGACTTTAGTTTAATTAAAACGTATTTATTTTCACAATTGTTCATCACAGTCGATTAACAAATAGATTTGGGTTGAGTCAGATCCAAACTACTTTAATTGCAAGGGGAGAATTCAGGCAGTATTTCCAGAATAATTGGACTTTCACTATATTTTAGTCTAGACTAAACTTTACTAGACGGACCTCATACGAACACTGACGAATAATTATGGGGGTGGATGGTTTCAAGCAGTAAGGAAATGTTTCAATACACAATAACAAGTATGAAATGCAATAAAATCCAACTTGTCCAAAAATAATAATTTGTCAAAAGAAATTGTTGCATGCTTCTTTTCAACCTTTCTTTTCTTAAGTTAAAATCAAACCAGAGATCTGTAATTTAAAAACTGTTTTTATAATCACGTAAAAGAAAGACGACAAAAAAAAAAAAAAAAACATTATACCGGATTACGAATAAATTTTCATATCTGTATCTCTGTTTATGAGATTGTCAGTTTTATGGAAGGATCATACTTTCATAGCTGCCAGAATTCACTAAAAAAAATAAAATTAAATAAAACTAGATAAATAAGAAAAATAAACCACATTTCCTTTCCATATTAAGCACATTACATTCTAAAATAAACCAGCAAAACTTTCATTTTTATTAATAAAATCCTTTACAAATGTGTATGTGTATGATAAAACATCCATTTCCCCACACAAAATAACTCCAAAACAAAAAAACATTTTTTTAAAGCAAAGAAACAGAGACTAAATTTTATTTTCTTCTCCTCGGCCTAACCCCTATTGCATCGGCATCCGATGGGGCTCTACACCTTCTCATCCTTTCCTGCATTCGCAGTTGTAAGGGCCGTCGTCTAAACAATAAAAACATAGTATATTAACACAAATCTGTCAAATTATAAAGTCTAAAATGCATATAAAGCACTCAAGGACGTCACCTGTTCGACCATCCTCTGCATCTTCTCAATGACAGAGATCATCTGACCGCTGTTTTCTCTCAAACTCTTCTCGTACGTTTTGTTGAGCGTCTCGGCTTTCTCCAGTTTCTTCTTGAGCTCTTTCTGTTGGCTCTGCTCCTGTTCATTAGAGGCCTGTCTCGCTTCTGCTGCTTCTGAATCACACACACGGTGAACCACACCAAAGACGTCATATTTAAATGCATTAAAGCTTGAGCATGAATATGATGGCAGAAATAAAACATTACACCATGAGAGGCTTAATGCATTACAGTTAGATCCGATTCGATTCTATACTGATTAATTGCGATTACATGACACCTGATATGGATTTCGGTAAGTTGTACTGTATCTTTCAACGTACATTCTGATGTTCATTCATGTTTATTTGGTGCTATAACTAGTAGTAAAGCGGAAGAGTTGATCGGTTAAGATGGGAGGCGCGTTACACTGTTCGGTAACACTTTACTTGAAGGGGTGTGCATAAGACTGACATGACACCTTCATAATCATGACATGACACAAGTCATGAATATGAAGGAGGTTTTATGCATGTTTATGACAACTGTCATTAAGTGTCATTCGCTCAATTATGACATTTTTAATGCAAATATGACATTGTTTGAGATGTCTATGTTATGACACCTTGACATAAACCAATACATCATAACCTGTCAGTGTCTTTGTCATGACAACTTGACATTACCAAGACAACATAAATTGTCATAAATATGTCATAAACATGTCATAGGAGATTAATTATCAAACTTAAGAAACTTAAGCTTTATGGGTTAACATTACGTTAAACTGTCCTGTGGTTGGTTTTGACATTGGCTGTCATGAGGCCATTATAACTGTGTCATGAATATTTTTCTTGACCTCAACTACAGTGGTACAAATTTAATTTGTCATTAAAAGGTTATAATGGCCTTACGACAGCCAATGTCAAAACCAACCACATGACAGTTTAATGTGATGTTAACCCATAAAGCTAAAGTTTCTTAAGTTTGATAATTAATCTCCTGTCATGTTTATGAGATATTTATGACAATTTATGTTGTCTTGGTAATGTCAAGTTGTCATAACCAAGACACTGAAAGGTTATAATGTATTGGTTTATGTCAAGGTGTCATAACAAAGACATCTCAAACAATGTCATATTTGCATTAAAAATGTCATAATTGAGCGAATGACACTTAATGACAGTTGTTATAAACATGCATAAAACCTCCTTCATATTCATGACATGTGTCATTTCATGATTGTGAAGGTTTCATGTCAGTCTTATGCACACCCCTTCAAGTAAAGTGTTACCCAATGTTCATTATGAACTGAAACAGCATGGACCAATTTTGGGGATTTAAGAATCAATATCGGTTCTTCAAAATTACAATGGATATAAAACTGGAGAAATCGATATTTTGAAGGCAGCCCTGATTACAGTCTCACCGAGTCTGGATTGCAGCGTGGCGACGCACTTCTCCAGTTCGCGCTGGGCTGTTTTGCTGCTCTCCAGCGACTGCAGCAGGTTTGGCAGGTTAATGACGTTCCCTCTGTAGTTCAGCACATCTGTGGCGTTTGAGCGACGGGCCGACCCTCGCTCTTTGCATGGCTGTCCCGGCAACATCGCTTTATTCCCTGAGAGGAACATGCAATGACATTTTTAGAAAGCTATGGACAAATGAGTTTTCATGCATTACCAGACTGTGTAAAAGCACACACACACCCTCAGCGCTGATGCTGTCGTCTGTCTGATCACTGTCTGACCAGCGACCGCACAGATTCCTGTAGAGACAAAGCCCACCGACCGCAACCTTTCTGACCAGATCCTGCGCCTGAGGAGAGATGGGACAGCACTCTTCAGAGATAATGTTTTTTACTTATAATCAAAGAATGCAAGTCAGTACACTGCAAAAAAAGCACAAGTATCTAAACATTTGTTAATCAAGATACATTTACTTCAGATGCACAATGACTTAAGGCTTGTTTTCTGAAAAAATAAATAAACTATCAACATTTTTACTTAGTGCAAACCCTCTGGTTTTAAAAAACTACTGTTAGGATTTACTTAAGACTTTATTTGTTTTTCTTTCAGACACAAAATTTGTGGCTGGAGAGTATTAAAATCAATCATGCAAAGTGATTAACATAAGTTTGTGTTTGTCAATTCAGGGGTATTTTCAGCACTGTTACTGCCCAAAAAAAGCATGTTGTAACCCATTTTGCGCCTGACATGACACTGGACTTGCAAGTGCAACTTTCCACCACCATCAGTGCTTTTATTATTATTACATCTTAATATGTAATTTTGCTTCTCAAGTAAATGTATCTTCATTTAGGAATTTTTTGATATTTGTATTGGAAAACCTGTTTTTTCCCAAATACAATATGAATATATAACAATAAAAATAATTATTATTCAAAATATTATTTAATATTATTTGAATATTATAAAAATAAACAAATTAATAAAATATTATATTGCAATTATATTGTTGTGGTACTGTAAAATAAAGTATTTTGTGATGATGATAATAATAATAATAGTAGTAATACAAATTATTATTTTTTGTTATTATTACTTTTAATAATATATTTTTTTATATTAATTTAATTTAATAATTTTTAATATAATTACTATATAATATTAATATAGCCTACATCAATATAACTAGTATATAATAATATACTTATACAATTATTATATTATAATATTTTTTCTTTACTATTTTAATAAAGAATTAATATAAGAATTGAACAAATCAATAAATACACTAATATTGCAATAATATTATTTCACTGTAGAATAAAAAAAAACAAGCATTTAATAATAAAAATAACTTTTTACAGAACAACAGTAAAATTACAATACTAACATTTATGTATATTTCTTTGACTTCAAATGTTCAACCCTAGAGCTTTTATTTGGGAGATTTCTAAGAAATAAAACCTGAGCAGGGCTGAGGAACAGGCCGAGAGACAGCAGGATGTTGAGCAGATCTGCTTCTCGAAGACTTCCCGTCAGCTGCCGGTCAAAGAACACCCAGGACAGAAGCACCTTACGAGGAATTTCAGCGGTCCAGCCCTGAGGACAGTCCTTCAAGCACACAGAAACACATGTAAGAGGAGAAACACTAGACGTGGCTCGGATCCGAGCAGAAACGTGAGCTCTTACTCCGTCTTTGGACGTCTGATTGTCTGAGGCGCTGCTGCTCTGCCCGTCTCCTCCTGTTTTGCTCTCTTTTACAGGCTCACATTGTTTTTCAGCTGGTTCAGTGTCATCCATCAGAATGACATCATCTGCGTCTAGCACCTCATCCTTCTCTTTGAGTTTTTTCTTCTTCGCATCGATCAATCCTTTCTTTTTAGCCGGCTGTTTGTCTGATGTTTTGGGCTCATCCTCCTTAAGAGAGAAAAGAGTGTAAAAAAAAAAATTTACTAGATTTTCTTGCTCTATTTAAATAAACAGTTGATGTTCTACATACAGAAGTGGCCAAACGTGATGTGCGGACGGGATATTTGTTTTTAATGAGTTTAATTACATTTTTATATTTTAAATGAGGCAAGAACTTGGTTAAGGTATTTATCTCATGGTTCGTACAGATACTGTAAAAAAAAAAGAAATTCCAGGACTTTCAAGGACTTTTCAAGCACTACTTTTTTGGTTTTCAAGGACTACAATCAAGAGATCTCACTTATCAAAAAGGTAAATGGATAAATAAAAACAGTACAAATAAAGTGTGGTAACTTTAGCCATTAAAAGGATACTATGACAAAGACATCGCTTTTCTCGTTCAAACTGATTTTTTCTCTTATGAATATATGATTGACCTGAAGAATGAAAGCTGTGTCATATACTTGAATATTTATATGAAGCAATATGACACTCATGGCTCTATATCAATATCAGACAGGTGAGAACAGATTGTTTTATCAATAAAATTAAACACTATTTTCTAATATAGCCTATAGTCTATCAATACTTCAAGCACATTTTCAAGCATCTTTTCATAAATATGGCTGATTTCTAGGGTTTTCCAAGACTTAAATTTCAAGCACCTTGTACGAACCCTGTTATCTGACTAAATTATTTGGCAAAAAAAGGCAATAGACTGTCAATGGAGGGACAGAAATCGCTCAGATTTCATCAAAGAGATCTTCATTTGTGTTCCGAAGATGAACGAAAGTCTTACGGGTTTGGAACGACATGAGGGTGAGGAATTAATGACAGAGTTTTCATTTTAGGGTGAATTATACCTTTAACTTAATGTACTAAAATAAAAATGAATAAAAACTATATAGACATATTTTCAAAAAAAAATCTAAAAAAAAATGACTAAACCTTGAACTAAAATTACAACAAAAACAGAAAATATTAAAATATAAACTGATTCAAAATATGAATAAAAACTGTTATAGTATGGCGATGGCACTAAAATAACACTGGCATGAGGTCTAGTGTACCATGGGAGTGCTGTTGTCGTCTTTGACACCGGTCAGCGGGACACTGGGATCCTGAGGCACACTGGGATCCTGAGGCAGACGGCAGAGACACTGATACAGCTGAAGCCCAAAGTCCCTCTGGAGCATCTCGCTGAACATCTCCGCCATTAAGCTGACCTGATCCCAGAACATGAGACGGAGAAGCTCAGAGAACGACATCATGTCTGAGCCAGTTTACTACACATACTATTTGCATTATTAATGGTTTCAAATGTGCTGCATATAACATCTGTAAGCACACACACCTCACAGCTCTCTCGTGTCTGAAGGCTCTGAGGCTCCAGCATTGACGACAGAGACACGACAGACAGATTCAGTCCATCGGAGGGGTGAAAAACCACAGACGGACCTTCGGAGAGCAACACATCATCCTGGAAGACAGGAAAGAAAACAGACAAGCTAGAAGACATCTCTGACGTGATTTTTAAGCATATTTCTTATGGATATAATGTTTATAAACTCAGTACCAGCTGTTTTTGTTGCAGTTTTGCCCAGTCTTGTTCTGCTGGCTCTAGATTCCACACATCTGGCAACAACACCACAACGGTCTCCATTTTATCTCCTGAAAGATATCTCAGCTCCGCCATCTTGTACCTTTGGACATTTAGAGCATTTAAGGGAAATGAGCACATTACTAATGAATATGTAAACGACACAAGGTGACATATTTCTTTCATTTACATAGTGAAAACATTTATCCAAAATAAAATTTAAAAGAAAACATACACTGGAGTTTGAAAATTTGGAGTCGGTAAGATATTTTTTTAATGTTTTAGAAAGAAGTCTCGTCTATTCACCAAAGCTGGATTTATTTGATTACCTATATTTTAAACTGTAATTTATTCCTGTGATCAAAGCTGAATTTTCAGCATCATTACTCCAGTCTTCAGTGTCACATGATCCTTCAGAAATCACTCTAATATGATGATTTGCTGCTCAAGAAACAATTATTATTATTATCAATGTTGAAACAGTTGTGCTGCTTAACAGTTTTGTGAAAAACCATGATCCTTTTTTTCAGGATTCTTTGATGAATAAAAAGTTTAAAAGAACAGCATTTATATGAAATATGATCTTTTGTAACATTATAAATGTCTTTACTGTCACGTTTGATAAAATCAAATCTTCCTTGCTGAATAAAAGTATTAATTTCTTTGAAGAAAGAACTGTATTTTTTTTTTTAAAGAAACTTCAGAGGCTTACAAATGCATAGTTGAAGCAAAGTAAAAATCAGTACACTTTGGCAAGACTCTAGTACAACATAACTGGATTAAAATGAAATATACAGACCACTGCGTGCAGGCTGAGAGATCTACAGAGGTTTGCTCCTTTATGCAGCGGACCGCAGTGTTGACCAGCGTCAAACTGTCCTTTACTGGGTTCGCTCCGTCAGCTTCGGGTGACCAGAGGCCTCCTGGGAGCCGCAGTTCACCTCCACTGTCCACCAACATGAACTACACCACAGAAAGAACAAATGAACTCGCTTAACTAGACCATAAAGGAGAATGTAACATTAATGAGCGATACAGAATATTCAGTAGAGCAGTGGTTCTCATCAAGCTTGTGGACTCAAAGTCCCACTGTTGTCCAACACAAGTTAAGGTAAGACATTTCCTCCAGTATTTCTGGGGGGGGGGGGGTCAATATGATTTCTTGATTTTTTTTTTAGCATTTTAAATAAATTTGATTTTTGTAATGTATTTATAGGGACCTATTGTGCCCTTTTTTAAAGTCTTGATTTTGTTTTTGGGCTCTACTAGATTAAGTTTTCATGCTTGAATATTTTTTTTTTATTTTTAATCCCCATATTCTCCATTGTTGCAGCTCGTCTCTTCCCAGTCTGTCAGTAACGCTCTGGGGTGCGTTTCCCGAAAGCATCGTTAGCCAACTATGGTCGCAAGTTCCATCGTTACCAATAGAGTTCAATGGGATTTGCGACCAACTTGCGACCATAGTTGGCTAACGATGCTTTCGGGAAACGCACCCCTGTTTAGTTCCTGTCTCTATGAAGCCCCTCCTTCCGAAAAGCACACTGTGCTCTGATTGGTCGGCTGGAGCAGTGTGTTGTGATTGGTCAAGCGCTTCGAGTGTGTTTGGGAAATGTCCCGCCCCTTACCATAACCGCCAGTTTCAACACACTACTAACTAACTCAACCAGGCCCCGCCTCTTTATTCTGCGTATTAATTATTTAAATGAGGAATATTGTGACGTGTTCGTTACCGGAAGAAACTCAAGACTACAATGGAGGCGTTTCAGGGAGTTCAGAAACACTGACACTGATATAGAGAAGAGCTAGAACTTTGCAGAGATTTTCATGCACAAACAGCAACATTAAAGCATAATAGGTCCTCATTAATATTAATATTGCAACTTGTTGTTGTAATATATATATATTAAGTGAATCAATTGGAAGAGGTGCCCTGGTTGAGAATCAATGATGTAGATGGAACTTGATTTTTTTTAATATTAGGATTTGATTGGAAAATGAGAGTAGGCTGAAATATAATTGCTTAATACTATTTAATCCACCTATAAAACCTTAAGTACATCAGTAAGACAGAAAAGTCAACCAGAAGTCAATATTACAGATTATGAATATTAGTATTTTAGTTTATTCCTAATCTTGTATCCATTTTATTCCTAAAATAATGTTTAAACATGGTTTTATCCAATCACTTCTGGAAACGTATGGAAATTAGTGCATATTTAATCAGATAATGCCTAATTTGCATACTTCAACTTAACAGAAAACTTGTAATATAAAACAACTATCTTAATGTACTGTGATTAATCAACTGGGTAAGTTTACTGATCTCTATTAGTTCATATTTCTACCTAATTGACCTGTGGTGTCTTGCCTTAACACGGCAAAGAGAGTCCATTTTGATTTCATTCTGGTCTTTTTTTAGGAACGACAGCAGTTCAGGAGCTTCATGGGACGTCCTGTGAGCTCAGATGTTCTTACTTTGAGAAGTGTAGTGGGATGTACAGCCTCCTTCTGCATCTGACCGTCCTTTGAGAGGTTACAACACTGTGAATACAAGTCCTCAAGGCACGGCATAGAAAACAGCAGAACCTGCAGAGAGAACAGAGCAATGCCTTTAGGAGAATGTGAGTCTTGTACGGCCACATGATCAAAAATAAAAAAAAGAGACACCTGTACCTTAACAGCGAAAGTGACATCTGTGGACTCGCAAGCTTCTGCTTTGGGTTCCGTCTGGTTTGATCCTATGTGAAAGTGACACGGTCCTCTCAGAGGAAGGGGCTGGTTGAGCGGGAAGCTCTCGGTCCAGGACAGCTGGAGGTGGAAGAGGTTAGAGGTCAGGTGCAGGTGTGGGTACCGACGCTGAAGCTCCAGATAACCACAGGCCTGGCTGAAAAAGTCAAGAGGAAAAGACAATGAGTTTACGGTTCATCAACTCACCACTGGGGGTGGTAGAGGAGAGATCCCCTGATATGATTGTAAAGTAGGGATGTGACGATTTACTCGCAACCGGTTGAAAATCGATAGAAATGTGTGACAGAAATGTTAAACGAATCGCGATACACGATTTAAACAGCAGGGCGCGTTTACTGTAGCCTACTGTGAAGTTGTGAACCTCGCTTTACAGGCACAATAGCAGCGAGCACACACTGGCGTGAAGCTAGCGAGTGTTTTCACTTCATTCATGGAACTTGATCTTGTGTGAGCCAAGCTCAACTTCCATAGGAATGAACTGAAAACGCTCGGTTTGCTCCGCTCGCGCCGCGCCAGTGTGTGCCATAGTCTGGTGTGCACGCGCCGTCTAACAGTAGACATGGCCAAGGGGGTAATCCATCGACCGGAAGTTGAAGCCGGCCGGGTGCCGCCATGTTGTAGCAGAACTTCACTTGCGTTAGCATTTCCATTGACTCCCATTCATTTTGCCGTCACTTTGACAGCGAATAACTTTACATCTGAGGCGTTTAAAGACTCCATTTGTCCATTATTTATTTCTAAAGAAACACGGCAATGTACAAAGGGCTCCATTACCTTCTATGTTACATTATGGCCCCGTAGAAGCAGATTTAGTAAAAATAGGCTAACGATTGCGTCATAACCACTCGACTCTGTCGCGCTGTACAGAAATTACCGTACAGACAGGAGGAGAAGCTCGCAGGCGATCGGGGGGACGTCCCGTCAAGGGAGAAGCCCATAGATAATGAGTCCATAAAAGCAACGGAATACTTACTCCTGCTCACTCACGCCAAAGCACTCTTTGCTCAAGTTCCCCCGTCTCTGCAAGATTAACGTTGGCAATTTTCACGCACAGCTACTAGAAGATTAACGTCTGTCAGACAGGTTGCTCACGTCATCAAGCTTAGTTTGAGTCGGTTTGAGTCTGCGCGTCAGGAACAGAAGTGCTCAAAAATCGCTAAAAATGGGCTTCAACTGTCTCAACTGAGTTCCAATGAGATGGCTCTGTCCACTTCTTATACTGTCTATGGACATGGCGACGGCAAGCGTACATGTTGACGTTGACTCGTTCAAATCGGAGGTGTGGCGGCATTTTGACTTTCCGTAGACTAAAAATAAATCACCACCGTGAGAAGCACCAGTCACCTCCGTTTTCATGTAAAAGTCATTAATATGACAATTGCGAGAGCCACGGAGATCACAAGGTGCATCAGTGTTTCCGTGGCAACCAGGTGTTGTATTTATTTTACTATCTCTTTCTCTAAATGTGTTTTTTTTTTTACTCTACTAGTGTAATGATAAAAATTTTAACAAAATTAGAATCTTGCCTTTATTACAATGTAAAACCCCTGTCAATCTGGTACTAATTTTACAGTCTTTTACATAGTGTACCAGTGTCCAGCCTCTTGACCAAACAGACAGAAAGACTGAGTTGAAACAACCTTGAAGGGAATTCTTTTTAATGTAGTTTTATTATTTGACAAATATATTTTAAATTAAAAAGAAATGTGCAGCATTTTGTCTGAGAAATAATAAAAGGGACACTTTTGTCTTAAATCTCATTTGTTAAAAAAATCGTGAGAAAATCGTATCGTGAATCGTATCGCATCGTGAGACATCCCTATTGTAAAGCGCTTTGGCTGAACAATAGTACATATGAAAGCGCTATATAAATGCCTAATTCATTCATCAGAACGTCCCGGCACTGTTTTCGCCTGACTTACGTGTCCCTGGAGAAACAGGAGAATAACGGCGCTCTGTGTGTGGTTACGGAGCTGCTTTTTTTGGGCACTTCCTCCGCCCTCCATCTTTTGCGTTTTTGGTGCATGGCATCTGATCCCCACGGCCCTCCGCCACCGTCCTCCCTGAAGGACACAAGTCAGCGTGTGAAAAACAGGACAGTCTTCAAGGGCGCTCACACAAAAACAACAGATGAGGCGCTTAAATCGGTTCATTTAAACCAAAAATTGGGCAGGAGGAGTATGTGAATGGCATACTAACTACAATGTTTGGAAGAAAGTACAGTAGTAGTATGCATATAAACTTTTTATTTATTCAGCAAGGATGCATTAAATTGATCAAAAGCGACAGTAAAGATATTTATAATGTTACAAAAGCTTATTTCAAATCAATGCTGTTCTTTTAATCTAGTCATCAAAGAATCCTGAACAAATGTTTAACGTTTCCAGTATATATGAAGCAGCACAACTGTTTTTAACATTGATGATAATAATCATAAATGTTTCTTGAGCAGCAAATCATCATATTAGAGTGATTTCTGAAGGATCATGTGACACTGAAGACTGGAGTAATGATGCTGAAAATTCAGCTTTGATCACAGGAATACATTACATATTAAACTATATTCACATAGAATAAAGTCTTTTAAATTGTAATAATATCTCTCATTACTGTTTTACTGATTGCATATGCATATATAAATAATGCAGCCTTGGAAAGCAGAAGAGACTTTTTTTTTATGTTACTGACCCCAAAACTTTGAACGAATTTTATATGCAATTTACAACAGAACACACTGCATGAACTAATGCATCCAACAATGCAATTTGCAACTTGACCTCACATTTCTAGTCTGATAAATGATCCGGATGTGTCAACCTCTATTTTGACTCATTATTATCAAAAATTCGATTTAAAAAAAAAAATTTGAATTCAAAATGCTAAATTATATGATAACTGGATTCAGTGGGGTCATGTGACTTCAACAATGCAGCATATTATAGTTTTAAAAATGGTCAAATAGCATGCAGTACACAGTATAGACAGACTACACAGTATTCCAGGTCATTGTGTCTCACCAGCGTCCACCTCTCCGTCCTCCCATGATCTCAGGGTGTCTCTTCCGTCCTCCACCCCAACCGTCAAACGGGCCGTTCCAGGGCATCTGCTGGTGATGGGACATCTGGATCATTCCACCTGTGACATATCACACAGCCTTCATTATGGACAGCTCCTCACGTCAGTGCTATTTTAGTATCATTCATCAAACCACTTCAGACACTGAGAGAAGTGATGCTGCAATGTATATTATGAGAAAAATGTGGGGTTTTTTTTTAAAACTTGGATGCATGTAAATCGATTGTAGGAGAAAATAGCATAATAGGGGTACTTTATCAAGTGTTTTTTAATAGTTTTAGTTAACGATAACAAGACTGCATCACGTACCAGGGTTTGGCTGCATACTAGGAATCAGTGGTGGTATTTTGGGAGATTTCAGCAGGGGTTGAGGTTTGGTCCCTAAAATGCCAGGCTTCATATTGGTCGACATGGACGGCAGCAGCGGAGGAGGGGATTTGAACGGCTGACGGAGAGAAACCCGGAGAAACAGACTGAAGATCCGGCATAACTATAACCGGTTAATTATACACATTCATAATACTCTTAAGAAACATGGAGTAACTTTACATGCTTCTAGAAACTACATTTTTACAAAAAAACAAACAAGATTAGATTAAAAAAATTCATTTTGTTTTAGCAACACACTAAGGCTTTCACTTAACAGATATCACTAGTTAATGTAAATGTTAATAAATATATTACAATTATGGCAAACTTAAAATTTTGTTCCAATAATAAAAAATAAAAGATTTGGGAATACTCATTGTTTGAGCAGCAAATCATCATATTAGAGTGATTTCTGAAGGATCATGTGACACTGAAGACTGGAGTAATGATGCTGAAAATTCAGCTTTGATCACAGGAAATATATTCACATAGAAAACAGTTCTTCTGTATTTTTTATCAAATAAATGCAGCCTTGGATGGTAGTGTATGTTAAGTGTAAATTCACATTTCTCTGCTCTAAATCAGCTATTTCTGAGGAAAAGCCAGGATGATTCGTAAGAACATGCCCAGGCCGTTGCCAGAAGCCGGTGATTATAGTTTATAACATTTTAAATATGGATATTTTTCTTACTAAAACACATCGCTTCACTTCAGAAGGCCTTTATTAACCCACTGGAGTCGTATGGATGTGCTTTTTGGGCTTCAAAAAACAAGGTACCATTCACTCCCATTATAAAGCCTTTTTTAATATAACTCTAAATGTGTTTGGCTGAAAGAAGACAGTCATATACTACTAGGATGGCTTGAGGGTGAGTAAATTATGGGATACTTTTATATTTTAGGGTGAACTAACCCTTTAATGTAAAGAGGGACCAAATATTTCAACAAATTGTAGATTTCTATTATACAACAACTTCTTAAGGACATGTTATTAATGTATGAGCTCAAAACGTTGCTCCATACCTGTCCGTTCAGGGTCTGGACGTTCTGTGCCGTCCAGCTGATGGGTTTCAGGGGGTCCTGAACCGCTTTCACCAACACTTTCTCACCCACCAGTGGCATTCGACCCACCACAACACTGCAGTGCAAACCACAAACCTCAGATCTCACATCAGATTATGACTGATGATTCATGCAGAATAAAACAAACACACAAACCTCATTGGGAAATGAACCTCCTGATCCACAATCCCATGATGCTCCTGCATCTGTGTGACCACCCCGGTAAACACACGTTGCCTCATCTAAACACAGAATCATTCAGCGTTTACACAATAAAACATGAGAACGTGTATCTTGTTCTTATGCACAATAATATTAAACAAATTCCTATCGTATGTACCTGTGTCTCCATATCAGATTTCCCTTTTCCTTTGCATGCAAAAGAAAGTATACTGAGTGCTTCGGGACACGTGCGTACACAATATAAATGCATGAATAAATAAATGTGCAATCATTTGTCTGCTTGTTGTGTAGGTCAACAGCAGCATGTGTGATATTTAACGTTACTTCCTACTGCGTTAGCATTACAGCAATGGCAGTTTAGTGCGGTTTTCCCGAATCCGCAGATCTTTATTTAAGACGAAACTGTTAGAAGAGATATTAAACAGCATAAGGCGACATTCAAAAGGTAATACTTACTTGTATTTTGTGTTCGTGGTCTTATTTTCCTTTACGTTGCTGCTTTTGTTTGTCTTGTGTTAGTTCTTCTTCCAACGGGCGTTTCAGACAGCAGCGCCATCAACCGGTAAGCCAGAGTAACTACAGGTGAAACGCCTTTAACTGCGTTTGGTTGAAAATACAACATCAGAGACCGCACAAAAACATTAAATGTGACGTAAACATTCCTACATAGTTTTCTAAACTTTGTTATTCTTCATAGACGGTCGCGTTAATATTAAAGGCACGTCGTGTGGTTTGACCTGCAGTTCCCCTCCAGTACCATAAGTGGCGCTGTGGCGCAGCGGGTTCAATGTTTCGCTCGTCTGTCTGTGCGCAAACACACGTGTGAAGATGGAGGAGGATAGACTACTTTTTCATGAGATGGGCTTAGATGATCGGCTGTTAAAGGTAAAATATATAGTCGTGCTAATAATATAAAGTCTGACTGCCTCGAAATAGCAGACAGCAGGATATCATCAGTGTGTTTTGTGCCGTTTGTAGGAATTTAGTGTCTGTTTCGACATTATATTTACTTGCTAACATTAGTACTGTCATTTCTGAAATAGAATAAAATAGATCTCTTATTGGATCTATGCAAACATTTCTTTTTGGTTCAACAGATTCACCATAAATGCTGTATTTAGTTATATGAATACCATAGTTCCTTCCAAAATACAATAGTTAGTACAGTAAAACTGTGGTAATATGTACACGCGCACAAATATATATATATATATATATATATATATATATATATTAGTGCTGTTAAGTCGATCTAACATAAAATACTTTGTTTACATAATATATATATGTTAGATCGACTTAACAGCACTAATATATATATATATATATATATCACATGTATGTGTTTGTGGGTGTATATAAGTTACTGTATTTATATATATGTGTGTGTGTGTGTGTGTTTGTATATACTGTATATAAACTCACAGACAGACAGATATATATATATATATATATACACAAATAAAAAAAATAAAAAAACTTTTGACAGCACTAATATCTATCTATAAATTACAGAAATGTCGGTCTGTGTACCGATATAAAGTTGGTTTGACGTTGGAAGTTTGACATTTGTCAGAGATTCAGCTCAGAAACACTTCAATACATCAATAACGATTTGGCATAAGAACGAAAAACAGGTTGTGGTCGAACGGTTTCAAAATGTAGAAGAGAACACACCCAGTGTAGGTTATGTGTTTTAATCGGCTTTACTGTATTGCAACCTATAAATTGTGTAATGTAAAACAGCAGATGGGGACCGTCTACAAAGTACAAAATGAAGAGGAAAAACGCTCAATTGTTTTATCCATATGCTTTACTCTTAAAAAAAAAGGTGCACAAACTGTGCACACAAAGCCTTTAAACACACACACTCAATCTCACCTGGTAAAAACACACCGTAAATGTTATACATTGGGAGTAGTATTAGTGGTAATAGTAATGTTATTAAGACAAAGAAGTTTTATGTTTTGACATTTTGAATCTCTGACAAATGTCAAACTTCCAACGTCAAACCAACTTTATATCGGTTGAGTGTGTGTGTGTGTCTGTTATTCGCATATCTCTCGAACCGTTAGTCCGATGGTTTTCAAACTTGACGGGTGTCTTGCCACGGGCACGAGTAAGTGCAGTGCCGAGTTTGACGTTGTTTCGATTAGAAATGCAAAAGATATCGGTAAAAGAAGCACACATTAAAGATGTTTAGATGATGTTTAGGTTGTGGTTTAAAAATAAACATTCTGACATAAACACTCTGTAAACATTAAATCAGCTACAAATAAAAATGTCACTGAACTTTTGCTGTGTAAATGTAACAATGAGCACTCAAACACACCAAACCAACAATTACTAAAAAACATTATAAATTGTCACCATATCACCATTATAAATTGTTATGCAACCATGTAGTTCAATTTTCCATATTTATTGTATGTCGTCAGTATCAGTATTTGCTTTCTATCATGCACAAATGTGTAATTGTAACAATGAGCAGCACTCAAACACACCAAACCAACAATTAATAAAAACACACACAAAAACAGATTTTGCACGGGCACTAGTATATATCATTTCTGATTTTCAGATGTGCTCACATGATTTGTGTCACTGCATGTTGATGTCTCAAATCACAAAAACATTTCGGATCCCATTTACTCTTGTATTTTAGTGCTGTCCACTTGTGATCAGATCATCTTCAGGGGATGTGAAGGATGCATTATTTAGTGTTGCTGTTGTGTTTGTCAGGCTCTGGCTGATTTAGGCTGGTCTCAGCCCACCCTCATCCAGGAGAAAGCCATCCCGCTGGCGCTGGAGGGGAAAGATCTGCTGGCCCGAGCTCGAACCGGATCAGGAAAAACCGCAGCCTATGCGGTCCCACTGATCCAAAGAATCCTCACGTCCAAACAGGTGATGTGTGGCTTTTATTCGTTTATACTTAGTTTATACTAAGCCTCAATGACTGAAATAAGTAACATTTGTTGTCACTGGTGTTGAATGTTTGCTGTGAGCAGACTGTACGTGAGCAGGCCATTAGAGCTCTAGTCCTGGTCCCGACTAAAGAACTGGGCCAGCAGGTCCAAACCATGATCCGCCAGCTCACTGCGTACTGCGGCAGAGACGTGCGAGTGGCAGACATCTCCGGGAAGGCGGATCTATCGGCACAGAAGTCAGTACTACAACAAATCACTTTATTAAATCACTGGACTGAGCATATTTGCTAAAGGAACTATATCTATACATGGAACTCAATTTGATATAAGATTTGATGATATCGTTCTTGAATTGTATGTATTAGTTCAGAAATTACTTTCTGAACTAATTTGGTTTTTATAAATCAAACGAACCAATATTTCAACAAAACCACCTCTGAAGCCTGGGACATGTGAAATATTGAATGCAAGAAGTAAAACTCAAGTTCAGTGCTATTTTAGTATTATTTATATACTGTTATAGTATTTATTAATATTTAGAATTATCGTTTATTAAATATTTACTTTTTTTATTTTAGTTATTTTTGTACTTTTGTCAATTTTATTATTATTATTATGTTTTAATATTACTATTTAGGTTTATTTATTTTTTTATTTCAGTTAATATAATAGTTTTAGTTGTAGTTAAAGGGGACTTATTATGCCCAAGTCTTGATTTTGTTTTTGGGCTCTATTAGAATAAGTTTTCATGCTTGAATGTTAAAAAAAAACATTATTTTCCTCATATTCTCCATTGTTGCAGCTCGTCTCTTCCCAGTCTGTCAGTAACGCTCTGTTTAGTTCCTGTCTCTGTGAAGCTCCTCCTTCTGAAAAGCACACTGTGCTCTGATTGGTCGGCTGAATCAGTGTGTTGTGATTGGTCAAGAGCTCCCAGTGTGTTTGGGAAATGTCCCGTCCCTTACCATAACCACCAGTTCAACACACTACTAACTAACTCAACCAGGCCCCGCCCCTTTATTCTGCGAATGAATTATTTAAATGAGGAATATTGTGACGTGTTCGTTCCCGGAAGAAACTCAAGACTACAATGGAGGCGTTTCAGGGAGTTCAGAAACACTGACACTGATATAGAGAAGAACTCCCGCTGGAGGGACTAAAGAAAGATGATAGCATTAAAGGACCCCTTTAACAATAATAACCATGCTCAAGTTAAATCAGGTTCATTCAGGAGTAGGTTAAATCTCATTAAGTCTCATTCAAGCTTATTTAAGCTCTCAAGTCTCATTCTAAGTGCAATTTAATATTGATTTCAAGAAACATTTACAATTCTTTGTCTTTCACAGGCCTATTTTAATGGAGAAGCCAGATATTGTGGTGAGCACGCCGTCCCGTGTTCAGGCTCACATCAACGCCCAGAACCTGCAGCTGCAAACTTCATTAGAGATGCTGGTCATCGACGAGGCTGATCTACTCTTCTCGTTTGGGTTTGAAGCAGATCTTAAAAGCCTGTTGTGGTACGTGTTTGATTAAAACAGCTCGGCCCTGTTTACAGCTGGTATTAAGATGCGTTTTGCTCGATCGGATCACAAGTGGACGACTCTAAATACAGCTGTAATCGGGGTCTAATACGTTTTGAGCTTGTCCACTTTCTGCCACTTCCAGAGGTAGTGAAAACACATTAGACCGGATTGCTTTCGTAGTGTAAACGCTCATGTGGTCGAGTGTGTTCAAACAGCCACTAAACACCGTCTTCTCTCCGTCTACTGTCCTCATGAGGGAACATTATGGGAAGTGTGCTAGTTAGACGGGATTTAAACTGTCGGCTGGAGACCCAAGTTTGGTTTGAAGAAGAAAAATGTACCAAGCACAATGTTCTCTCCATTCCTGATTTCTAACACACACACACACAGCGTTCGCCTGTCAAAGCAGAAACTAAAGCTTCTGCTCTCCGTTATTTTTCCCGTCGTCTTCAGTCGTGTTCATATGTAAATTAGCCAAACTCAGATGTGGTTGAAAGTGAACAAAAGAGGCGGATTAACACCAGGTGTTTCCCTCGTCTACTTGTGATCCGATCAACCAATACGCATCATAATACCAGGAGTAAACAGACCCCTTGTGATATGAATTACTTGGATGTGTGAAAAGTGTGTGTCTTGTTAACTAGATTAATTTGCAAAACCATGTTTTCCAGAAAAATAAGTCACATCTGACTATTAGTCGGACCGGGTCAAAATTGCATTGAGAGAAAAAAAAGTCACTTGTATTATTACTCAAAAAATAATTTAAAATATTGGTTAATAAAACAAATCGTTTACAATAGGGCTGTCAGTTAAACGCGTTATTAACAGCGGTAACGCAAACCCATTTTAACGGCGTACAATTTTTTATCGCGCGATTAGCAGTCTTTTTGGCCTAGCAAACTTTGTAGTTTTTTTCCACATGCTTTTGCAACAGGACGCGGCATGCGCGGCTCTATGAAACCTATTCATTTCAATGGCTTGCGCCGCGCGAGGACGTTTTGAAAGCGCAAGCGGACCTAGCTAGACCAGAAACAAAACAACAGGCACGCCGCACACACTTGTTTGGGTCTGCGAGACGGCCAAATAGTTGGTTAAGGT